GAAAGAGTGAACAGAGAAATGGTGGAGAAGTATATGAGAGATAATGGATAACAATTTTCAGCATTTGAGAAAAACAAGGATCTTCAGATCAAACGTACGCTTTGAGTATTAAGCAGGGTAAGTGAGAAGAAATCCACAAATTTAAAAATGAGAAGAAGAAACAACCAACTTAAAAGCTTCCAAAGAGAAAAGTCAGAATGCTATCAATCCAGTTGTTGCTCTTTTGAAGTAGATTTTTTTTTAAATGTTTTTTTCTTTATTGATTTTTAGAGAGAGGAGAAGAGAGAGGGAGAGAGAGATAGAAACATCAGTGAGAGAGAACATGGATTGGCTCCCCCCCGCAAGCTCCCCACTGGGGATTGGGCCCACAACCTGGGCAAGTTCCCTGACCAGGAATCAAACTGGCGGCCTCTTGGTGCGTGGGTTGATACTCAGCCACTGAGCCACACCAGTGGGGCTTGAAGTAGACTTTTTATCTGAAACAGTATGCAGAGAACAAAGGGAGAAGTGATTCGGAATAATATCCATGAAAGAGTCAAGGAAAAATAAATGTTAACCTAGAATTTTCACTGGCCTAAATAATCATTCTAGAGTGATGGTATAATAAAAACATTTTCACATATATAAAGATGAATGTCATTTATTGCTAACCCACCTATTAAAGTATATATTTCAAAAAACTATTAAAGTATATATTTCTATAAGATGAAGAATAAACCCAGAAGTCAGAAGTGTTGAAATGTAAAAGATAATAAAGAGCCAGAAATGGTTAAAATGTGTTGGTAGAAGTAACTATTGATAGTAAAATAATAAACATCTTTGTATTAAATGCTAAAATTGTAGTCAAGATTAGTAAGATAGAGGTTTCTGTTTCTGATGGTTGAAGGTTTATTTCTGTTTTTTTTTTTATCCTCACCCAAGGACATTTTTTGTTCAGGTAGAGTGGGAGGGAGAGAGAGGAAGAGAGAGAGAGAGAGAGAAACATCGATGTGAAAGGGACACATCGAGTGGCTGCCACCCGCACGACCAACCAGGGCCGGGGACAAACTGCACCATGCCCTTAGCGGGAACCGAACCCGGGTCTCTCTGGACTGCAGGCTGATGCTCTAACCGCTGAGCCAAACCGGCCAGGGCATTATTTATTTATGTATGTATGTATGTATGTATGTATGTATGTATGTTAGGAACCGAACCCGGGACTCTCTGGTTCGCAGGCCGACGCTCCAACCGCTGAGCCAAACTGGCCAGGGCTGAAGGTTTATTTCTTGTTCTATCTAGAGGAAGGTAGAGATACTGAATAATTTTATAGATTGTAAGAAAGATTAACAGAGAAGTATATATGTTAAATTTTAAATGCAATAATTAAAACAGAAATAGGATATAAATTCCAAACCAGCATAGGGGTTGGGGTTGGAGGAGGATATAGAAAACTTTTTCAATCTAACAGGTGGCAGGAAAGGCAAAATAAAAATATAAACAAAGCCCTGGCCGGTTTGGCTCAGCGGTTAGAGTGTCGGCCTGCGGTCCTGAGAGACCCGGGTTCGGTTCCCGCTGAGGGCACGTACCTCGGTTGCAGTTTGTCCCCGGCCCTGGTCGGTCGTGCAGGTGGCAGCCACTCGATGTGTCCCTTTCACGTCGATGTTTCTCACTCTCTCTCTCTCTCTGTTCCTCTCTCTCCCTCCCACTCTACCTGAACAAAAAATGGAAAAATGTCCTCGGGTGAGGATAAAAAAACAACAACAACAAAAATATAAACAAAGAAAGAAGAATGGTAAAATGAAAACAAACAATAAGATGGCAGAAGTCCAATTTACCACCAATTAAGTAGTCAGATTTCATGGTGTTGCATATCTTTTAAATACAACCATATTCTAAATAAGTGGAAACAGTTTATTTCTATTTCATTACATGTTTTCAGAGATGTGTGTTCTGGATCCTGTACTATCTCGTCTGCTCAAGGACTTTGCTCTTGTGATAGTTCTCTTAATCTACTACACCAGCAATTTCTCCCTTGCCTTCATCATTCCCGTTTCTGTATAAAATACTGTTGATCTTTCCTTGATTTCATTCTCCGTGCCGGCTCTTGCTAAAAGTGCAAATATTGCTTTTACTTTATCATCTCCCATTCTCACCTCAACCTTTTGCCTCCATCTGTACTCTTCTTGCTGAAATTGCTGTTGTCAAAGGTTACCAGTGAACTCCATGTTTGCTAATCCATTATTTACTTCTGTCCTTTCCCCCCATGAAAATTACACAAACCTCTACTCATAAATCAAATATTACTTTATTTTTTAAACTCATCTTTATTGTTGAATGTCTTACAGATGTTCCCCCATTTTTCCCTATTGACCCCCTCAAATATTACTTTAAATATAGAGGCAGTAAAGGAAAGTGGTTAAGACATAAACTAATCAAAATGTCTTAGGTTTCAATCCTTACAGTGACTCCATGTTTAAAATACTAGCTGTGTGACTTAGGGAGAAGTTATAAAACTTCTCTGTGGCTCCATTTCCTCATCTGTAAGATGAAGATAACAGTACTTAGAGCATTGCTGTGAGGATTAAATGAAATGCACACAAAGCACATAGTATGGTATGTGGCACGTGGCAAATGCTTAGTAAATGTTAGCTATTATTAATAAGCTGAAATTCTATTTTGTTATTGAATGAGGATATAAATATAATGGAAAATATTTTAAGGATGAGATTTTTATTATAAAATACTTGAGCCCTGGCCGGTTTTGCTCAGCGGTTGGAGCATCGGTCTGTGGACCAGAGTTCTGAATTCGGTTCCCGTTAGGGGCACGTACCAAAAAAATAAAATAAAATAAAATCTTGATACTTATAAAATAATATATGTAGTATATATGTAAGTTAGAAAACAATAAAATCAACACTTGGGAATTTACCGCCAACCTAACAACCTTACATTCTTTATCAAATTGTTGTTCATCCTATGTATCCAATGTGACTATCCTGAATTGTGTTTGTCTCTTGATAAAAAAAAAAGAAATAGATGTAGACATTTGTATATATCCCTAATTGTTAGCTTAGCTTTTGTTGGTACTTTTATTGTCATAGCTTATTGTATGTATTCTTTTGTGATTTACTTTTTTCATTAAATTTTGTTGCTAAGATTTATCCTAGTGGTATATGTGTCTGGTTGATTAATTTTCATGGAGATAATTATAGCATGTACTTTTCAGGGCTGTGTGAATTAAATGAGTTGGTACATGTAAAGTACTTGGAACAGTGCTTGGCACTAGTAAGGGCTTAAAGAAAGATAGTCATTATTATATTTATTATTCTTCACTGCTTTGTGAAATGTTATATGAATAGAACATGGTTAGTTTATTATGGACATTTGGGTTATTTACAGTTTGAAACGACAGAACATAGTGCTTCTTTGCACATTCATATACCTCTCTTCTTGTTCCCTTGGCTAGTTTCTATAAGCTAAGTATATAGACCTAGAAGTAGAATTGCTAGGTCATAAATTATACTAATGTTCAACTATATTAGATTATGTCAACTTGTTTACCAAGGCAATTTTTTTTTTACCTTGTGCTTTTTCATGTTTCCACCAGCAGTGTATGAATTCCTATTGCTCCACACCCTTGCCAATATTAGATGTTGTTATAGTTTTTTATTTTTCCTAATCTGGAGGTTGTAAAATGGTACCTTATGGTTTCATTTGGATTCTGTTTATAATGAGGCAATCATGTCTTCATATGTTTACTGGCCATTTGTATTTCCTTTTCTGTGCAAGTTTGTTTTCATCTGCCCCCCTTTTTTTGCTTTCTAGTGGGTTGTTTGTCTTTTATTGATCTGGAGGAATTCTTAAATATTTATGATACTCTTTGTTGGTTCTAGTTGTCAAAAATATCTTCTAGTTTGAGGCTTTTCTTTTTTAAATGGGATATTTTGATGAACAGATGTTCTGAATTTTAATTTAGCAGAATTTGTCCATTTTTCCGTGTATTGTTTATATCTTGTTGAGAAATCTGACTCTACCATAAAAATAGGCTGTATTGTTTTCTGTTCGGCATAAATGTTGTAACACTAAAGTCATTTCATTAACCAATCTGGAATTGGTTGTTGATGTGAGGTGGATTCCAATTTCCTTTTATTTATTTTTTGCGGGGGGTGGGGGTGGGGGAGTTGTATAGTAGTTTCAGTAATTACTGAGTAGTCATTCTTCATTGAATAGTATTTCTAGAACAGTTTTAAATAGAAGAATCAAGTGTATCTCCCCTTGTTTTGTTCCTTATTTTATTTATTAATTTTTTTGGTACGTGACCCTAGCAGGAACCGAACCCCGGTCTCTCTGGACCTCAGCCAACGCTCTAACGCTGAGCCAAACTGGCCAGGGCTAAATGCATGCCTTTAAAATAAGGAACAACGCCCTGGCCGGTTTTGCTCAGCGGTTGGAGCCTCGACCTGCGGTCCGGAGAGACCCGGGTTTGGTTCCCGCTAAGGGCACGTATTTCAGTTGCAGTTTGTCCCCGGCCCTGGTTGGGTCGTGCAGGTGGCAGCCACTCGATGTGTCACTTTCACGTCAATCTCTCTCTCTCTCTCTCTCTTCCTCTTACTCTATCTGAACAAAAAATGTCCTCAGGTGAGGATAAAATAAATAAATAAATAAAGGAATGCATTTAAAGTTTCTCCATTGAATACAGTGTTTAGGTTTGTTTTACTCTTTAAGGAAATCTCTTTTTGTCCTAATTTTCTAAAGGGTTTGAAATTTCATGGGTGTTGAATTTTATTAAATGTTTTTTTTTAGCTCCTGAAATGATTCTAAAGTTTTTCTCTTTTAATCTCTTAGTGAGGGGAATCAGTAGCTTTTCTAATGTTTGACTACTCTTAACATTCCTAGAATAAATCCAACTTGTCTGTGATATATTATCTTTTTAACACATTGCCAGATTGTTAGCTAAATAAGTTTATAGGTTTGTATGAAAGCCATTGCTTAATGTAAATTTTTAAAAATAAACTTTACAGCAGAAAATATGGGTGCAGAATTCAAAGCTCCACTTACTAAGCAAGAGACTCTCCAAGTAAGAGGTAAATATATTTTATTCTATTTTCTTTTTATAGTGATGTTTTGAATTAAATATATAAAATTAGTTTACATAGAGCTCTTTATAGTTACATTATTATAAGGATTAGAGTGAGGGTTATTGACCATAAGGATTTATTCTCCTCTATTTATAAGCTAATTTTTTCTTATCCTCACTCGACACTTTTTGCATTTATCTTCAGATAGAGCAGGAGGGATAGAGGGTGGAAGAGAGAGAGAGAAACTTGACATGAAAGAGACAGATCAAGTGGTTGCCACCCACATGACCCCAGTGGGGCCAGGGACAAACTGTGACCGAGGTACGTGCCCTGAGCAGGAACTGAACCCGGGACTCTCTGGTCTGTGGGCCAACACTCTAACTGCTGAGCCAGACTGGCCATGGCTTTATAAGCTAATTTTATGCTGAAGTTCACTTTGCAGTTTGGTCACAGATTTTGTGGTAATTGTTTTTCTCAAAAGCCCAGGGAAAGGAGTAATGGCAAATAAAAATCATCAGTTACTTTATCATTTTATAAAAATAGTGTGATTAAAGAACAAGAGGTCAACACCTTTCAGCTACAACTTTTTCAAACCTAGATAGAGATTGGATATTCTTTTTTGACTTTCTTTTCTAGGAGTAATTTCATGATTAAGGAATTCTTGTTTGCAGCTCTATTCTTTAAAACGAACTATGGCTCCCGATGAGCTATGACTCCCATTTCCAAATCAGTATGTTTCACGGAGGCAGTAAGTCAGTGGTTAGGAGAATTGTGGCTTTGGAGTCATACAAAACTGGATTCAATTTGTGACCTCAGTATGTACCAGCTATATGGCTCTGGGCAGTGTACCTGACTTCTCTGAGCCATAGTTTTTTCCTCTATAATATGATGCTAAAAATAGAACTTTTTTGTAGGACAATTTTGAAGATAATACATAATGTGCAGTTATAATTAAGAATAATTAATATTGTGATAGCAGTCATTGTCATTAATAATCTGGGCCAGGACAGGCCAACAGGGATTTCTAGCTACTTTGAAGAAATTTTTAAAAAGTAATTAAAAAAAACTAATCTTTTAAAAGAGAAAGTTACTTCCCCACTCTGTTCCAGAGGACCTTATCTGGATTCTGGATTTTGAGTTTTAGGGTTATTGGAGAAAAGCAGTTCAGAGACCCAAACTTATTTAAAAAGAAACCTGAACTTCTTTATATACTGTTTTTTCCAAATAAGGTTTTGATTTTTATATTGAACTTTACTTTTGAAATGTTCTTCTTAAGTATTATTTGTACATTTGATATTAATAGTTCATGTGTTGTTTTAAGAGTCTTTTTACTTACTGCAGTGCTAGATAATTTTAGTCTTAATTTGCTCTTTAAACTTGAATGTAGAACAGAAAATTTATGAATTAATAGATACAAGAACAGAATGTGTAGTAACTAGGTGACAAGTTGTAACAGAACACACGAGTTTCTTCTGTTGTTTTGCTCTTCAGATAGTTACTTATGTTATTTATCTGTGTTGTGACCAGTCTCACTTTATAATATGACTTATAAACGTAGACCAATGTTATTGATGTCTCTGGCTTTTTTATGAACAGTTTGATAATTAATAATAGGTAAATAATTTAATAGGAGATAGTATTTCACCTATAATCTATAATAAACTTCCTATAATTTTTGTTGCTGTTAATCCTTACCTAGGGATATTTTCCCATTGATCTTCAGGTAGAGGGAAAGGGGGGGCGGAGAGAGAGAGAAACATTGATATGAGAGAGATACATTAATTGGCTGCCTCCTGCATGATCCTGACTGGGGCCGGGGATCAAACCTCACAGCTGAGGTCATGCCCTTGACCGGAATGAACCTATGACTTTTTGGTCCACAGGCTGATGCTCTAACCACTGAGAAAAACCTGCCAGGGCCCTTTCTATAATTTTTAAGTGATAAAAATCTTCCTTTTGCTTACTTCAGCTTTGTTGCATTATATGAAACAGTCCAGTGGTTTTCAAATCTTTTTAACTGCAATCCACATAAGAAATACTGTTTAATAACTTGATTTGTATAAGATTATTATATTTATTTATTTAAAAAAAATTTTTTTCATTGATTTTAGAGAGAGAGGAAGGAGAAGGAGAGAGAGAGATAGAAACATCGATGAGCGAGAACATCGAATGGCCGCCTCTTGCATGCCCCCCACTGGGGATCGGGCCCACAACCTGGCATGTGCCCTGACGGGGAATCGAACCGGTGACCTCTTGGTGCATGGGTTGATGCTCAACCACTGAGCCACACTGGCCGGGCTAGATTATTATATTTAAATGAAAGAAAAGATTTTACAAAAAGTACTTATAAAATTCTGATTTTACTCCACAGTTTTAAAAACACTGAACTAACCTGTACTTTTTTTTTCCCCTCACCTGAGGACATTTTTTCATTTTTTGTACAGATAGAGTGGGAGGGAGAGAGAGGAAGAGAGAGAGAGAGAGACATCGATGTGAAAGGGACACATCGAGTGGTTGCCACCCGCACGACCCATCCAAGGCTGGGGACAAACTGCAACCGAGGTATGCGCCCTTAGCGGGAACCGAACCGGGTCTCTCTGGACCACAAGCCGACGCTCCAACCGCTGAGCAAAACCGGCCAGTGCTAGCCTGTACTTTTTAACTGAAACTTAAATTCATTTTTATTTAGACCCTAAACGATTTAAATTTTGTATTAATACAGTTTAAACTAATCAGTGATACCTATACAAGGTGTTTATTAGACAAGGCGTTGGCATTTTGGCATCAGTAACAGATGAACTATGGAGATAAAAGCTAGATGTCTACAAATGTAATTCCATTCTATTCTGCACTTGAAGAATTTTTTTCTGATGCCATTCAGTGCATCAGGGGAATGATTGATATTTTATGGAATTCATTAGTGAAGCCTCAGCATTTGTTTGTCTTTAGCTATGACTTTTGTTGTGCATAATTTTTGTTTTCCTTTGTTTTTTTGTTTTTAGTCAAAGCAGTCCTTAAGAAGAGGGAGTATGGACCAAAGTATACTCAGAATAATTTCATCACTGGAGTGAGAGCAATTAATGAGTTCTGCCTTAAATCCAGGTACAGTTATTTTTTTAAAAGTGGTCTAGCTAATTTGAATAACCATTTATTTTATAGAATGTGTTACCTGCTACCATCCATGTGGAGATCTTCCCATGGCTTCTTCCTAAAATAAAGGAATATTTTTATTCAGTGAAAAAAATGTTAAAATTATTTGCTTACCAAATTGAATTCTGCTCCAGCATGAGCTATTTCATTCTTTCTGGGCTTCTTAAATTAAAAAAGGCAAGTTTTTCAAAACCCTGCATTACGCAAGATCTTAGGAGTTTTGTTGTTATGTTCACATGTCAGAATTATCAATTATAATATTATTTGCATATTTTTATGTTGACTTTTAAAATTTCTTTTTCTTTCTCTTATTTTTTTATTTTTATTTATTTATTTTTTTTATTCCTCACCCAAGGACATTTTTGCATTTCAGATACCCCGGGGACAAACTGCAACTGAGGCCTGTGCCCTTAGCGGGAACCGAACCCTGGTCTCACTGGTTCGTGGGCTGATGCTCTAATCGCTGAGCCAAACCGGACAGGGCTAAAATTTCTTTTTCATTATTGATTTTAGAGAGGAAGGGAGAAGGAATTGAACCAGCGACCTCTTGGTGCATGGGTCGATGCTCAACCATTGAGCCATACCAGCTGGGCTTATGTTTGACTTTTTAAAAAAAATTTTTTTTTTCTTTATTGATGTTAGAGAGAGAAGAAAGGGGGAGAGAGATAGAAACATCGATGAGCAAGAACATCGATTGGCTGCCTCCTGCATGCCCCTCACTGGGGGTCAGGCCCAGAAAGTGGGGATGTGCCCTGACCTGGAATTGAACTGGCGACCTTTTGGTTCATGGGTCAACGCTCAACCACTGAGCCACACCGGCTGGGCTTATGTTTGACTTTTTAAAGTTTTGTTCTTTTGGCTAGCAGAATTGAGTGGTACTTAATTTAGTTAGCACATTTATGTTTATTATATTCCCTATGTAGTTTCTGTTGAATATAAATAATTTTTACTTCTTTCTGGTATCTTTTTTTGTTGTTATTAAGCCTCACTCAAGGATATTTTTCCATTGATTTTCAGATAGAATGGAGGGGTGGGTGGAGAGACAGAGACATCAATGTGAAAGAGACACATCAACTGGTTGCCTCTCTTATGACCCTGACCTGAGCTGGGGATCAAACCTGCAACCCAGGTACATGCCCTTGACTAGAAATTGAACCTTGGACCCATCAGTCCGGGGGCTGACACTCTGAACTACTGAGCCAAGCTGACTAGGGCTGTTTCTGGTATCTTTTGTTACTAATTTTCTTGCCGTCATAGAGATTTATTGAAATTATATTTGTCACATATTTTTTAATTTTTTCTTCCTTTGTGTATCTATCTAGAAAAGTCATATTTATGTGGAAGATTTCTTGGCTTTTTAGAGATATTAGATGTGATCTACCCTTTTTACCCTCCTTTCCCTCATGGTCATCCTCTAGGTATAGTATCAAGAAATAAGGAACCCTACGATCAGTTTTATAACTTATATAACTAGTAATACAGTAATCAATTATAATATTGATATAAAACTATATTCTAGTTCACATAGAGTATTTTATTTAGTTCTCACAACAATTTTGTGAATTAACTAGGTTAGGTATTTCTGTCTCCACATTATAGGCCAGGAAACGTAATAAAGATATTAGTGATGACACATTTTATTTAGTGAGTTCAGTGACAGAGTAGAAACTAGAATAGCCTTTTCTTTTTAATGTTTAAAAAAAAAATTTTTTTATTGATTGTTTTAGAGAGAGAGGAAGGGAGAAAGAAATAGAAACATCGATGTGAGAGAGAAACATCTATCAGCTGCCCGTTGCATACCCACTACTGGGGATCGAGCCTGCAACTTGGGCATGTGCCCTGACTGGAAATCAAACCAGGACCTCTTGGTCCATGGAACGGTGCTCAATCCACTGAGCCACATTGGCCAGGCAACAAAATTCAATCTTGATAAACTGATCTTTAAATGCTATACAGATCTACAGTCTTTTTTTTTTTTAATTAATTTATTTTTGTTACAGATGTTTCTCCTTTTTCCCCCATTGATACCCTCCTCCCCCTCCCTCCCTGCCCTGTCCCCAGCTTTGTTGTCCACATCCATTGGTCATGCATACATGCATATAAGTTCTATGGTTTATCTGTCCCCCAACTTCCCCTTCTGAGGAATGTCAGTCTGTACCCTACTTCTGTGTCTCTGGGTCCATTTTGTTCATCAGTTTGTTCATTATATTCCAGAAATAAGTGAGATCATGTGATATTTGTCTTTCTCTGCTTGGCTTGTTTAGCTTAGGATAATTAATACTTTCCAGGTCCCTCCATGTCGTCTCAAAGGATAAGAAATCTTTCTTTCTTACAGCTGCATAGTACTCCATTGTGTATATGTACCATAGCTTTTTTATCCATTCATCTACTGATGAACACTTGGGCTGTTTCCAGATCTTAGCTATTGTAAATAGTGCTGCTATGAACATAGGGGTACATATATTCTTTCTGATTGGTGTTTCAGGCTTCTTAGGGTATATTCCTAGAAGTGGGATCACTGAATCAAATGGCATTTCAATTTGTAATTTTTTGAAGTGACACCATAGTGTTTTCCATAGTGGCTGCACCAGTCTGCATTCCCACCAGCAGTGTACTAGAGTCCCCTTTTCTCCACACCCTCACCAACACTTGTTGTTTGATGGCGGCCATTCTGACAGGTGTGAAGTGATACCTCATTGTTGTTTTAAGATCTATAGTCTTTTAAGGTGAGGATCAGTGAAGTGGCTTTTATCTGCTCTTAATAACACTTTTAAGTACATAAACTGAATGGACATTGAATAAATTTAATATGTTTCTTTTTTTCAGTGATCTGGAACAACTTCGAAAAATCAGACAACGAAGTCCCCATGAAGATACTGAGTCCTTTACTGTGTACTTGAGATCAGATGTGGAGGCAAAGTAAGAACATAGTTCTTTTAGAATAAAAATTCTAACCAAATTTGGGATTAATAAAAACACATTTCAGACAAACCCATAATTTTTAAAATGACAGTATTTTGGTTTTATTTATTTTTAAGTTTTCTATCTTATTTTATTATTATTATTATTTCTAATCCTCACCCAAGGACATTTTTCCATTTTTCATTCAGATAGAGCGGGAGGGGGGAGAGAGAGAGAGAAACATTGACGTGAAAGGGATACATCGAGTGGTTGCCACCCGCACGACCCAACCAGGGCCCAGGACAAACTGCAACTGAGGTACGTGCCCTTAGTGGGAACTGAACCTGGGTCTCTCTGGACCGCAGGCCGACGCTCTAACCGCTGAACCAAACTGGCCAGGGCGACAGTATTTTGTTTTTAAAGTAAAATATTTTTGCATTTGCCAATTTATCCGGGAGTTAATACTATATGTACTACTTAACTAAAAATGTGTCCTAATTTCTAAGAAAATTTGTTATTGAATTAACTATTTTGTTTAGATTTAGTTTAGAAAAGTTTCCTAAGTGCTTTATATTTTTTTCTAAAGGTCCTTATGCTTTTTGTTGTAAGATTCTTATATCGTTTATATGGTTCATTCTAGATTTAAATATGATTACAGTAAAGTCATTAAAATTGTTCATTGTTGTTGGTCATGTGTTTATGCATAGATCTTTGGAAGTTTGGGGAAGCCCTGAAGCCCTTGCCAGAGAGAAAAAACTGCGTAAGGAAGCAGAAATAGAATATAGAGAAAGTAAGTATATTCGATTTAAAACTAAGTTAATTGGAAAATACAGATATATTTGGAGATACTGCAGATTCAGTTCTAGGCCACCACGGTAAAGGGAGTATCGCAATAAAGCGAGCCATAATCTCTTTGCTGGGGAGTGGGATACCTTCAGTTTATAAAAAGACACTACATTTTTGAAGCACAGTAAAGCTGAGTGCAGTAAAACGAGATGTGCCTGTAACTCGTAGGAAAGAATAATGCATATAATTATGTACTCCCTGGTGGTTGTGTACCTTTGGCTTTGGTTCTGTTGGTTGTAGCAAATAACAATATCCACTTGGGATTCAGTTATTTTATAGAAACAGTATCTACTCTTTTGTTTTCTTCTCTGTAATTTTTTAAAGATGATGAGAGTAAGTAAAGCTGGTTTGTGAGTTTTGTAAGACATGAATATTAAAACCGATGATCTGATTTGAAGGTTATACTTGTTCTAAAAGTGATAGGATAGTGCTTTCTTTCTTTTTATTTTTTTATCCTCACCTGAGGACATTTTTCCATTTTTTGTTCAGGTAGAGTGGGAGGGAGAGAGAGGAACAGAGAGAGAGAGAGAAACATCGATGTGAAAGGAACACATCGAGTGGCTGCCACCCACACAACCGAACAGGGCCGGGGACAAACTGCCACCGAGGTACGTGCCCCTAGCGGGAACTGAACCCGGGTCTCTCAGGACTGCAGGCCGACGCTCTAACCGCTGAACCAAACTGGCCAGGGCGGATAGTGCTTTCTTATAGAAAATTTTTCTCTCTGTTAATTCAGCTACCAACTTTTTACCTTAGTTAACTAATTCAGAAGATACTTATCAAACATTTGTGAAGTAGAAACTGCTTGGTACTTGAGTTTTAGATGCACATAGGACTCTTAGGGAGTTTAACAACCCAATTGTTTAGTGACAAAGATACCTTTATAGAATTAGCATTTATATAATATAAAATAGGTTTCAGATAATTGTTTGATTTACATATATATGTACTTGTTAATGACAAATGTGGTACATAATTGTAATTTTCAAAAGGTACAAAAATATAAAGAATAAAAATTCTTGCCCTGGCCAGTTTGGCTCAGTGGTTAGAGTGTTGGCCCACAGACTAAAGAGTCATGGGTTTGATTCTGGCCAAGTGCAACTTTGGTTGCGGTTTGTCCCTGGCCCTGGTCAGGGTCGTGCAGGAGGCAACCAATCAATGTGTCTCTCTCATATTGATGTTTCTCTCTCTCTCTCTCTCTCTCTCCCCCTTCCTCCCTCCTTCCAACTCTATCTGAAGATAAATGGAAAAATATCCTTGGGTGAGGATTAAAAAGAAAAAGAATAAATAAGTCTCTTTTTATTTCCTCTAATACTGTCTCATTTTTCTTCCTAGAGATAGCTGTTGTTGAAATGTCTCTCTGTGTGAATAAACTATCAAACAGATACGAAACATTTACATGATTCCAAAGTCACATCTTAGAAAATATTTCAGAGAAATTTAGCTTCCATTTCTGTCCTCCCCACCCTGTTCCCTTCCTCTCGCATAGGTAACTATTTAAAAAGTTAGTTTTATGCTCTGGCTGGTGTGGCTCAGTTGGTTGAGCACAGTCCAGTGCACTAAAAGGCAGCTGGTTCAATTCCTGGTCAGGACATATGCCTAGGTTTCAAGTTTGGTCCCTGGTTGGAATGTGTATGAGAGGCAACCCAATCCATGTTTCTCTCTCTCTTTCTGTCTCTCTCCCTCCCTCTCCCTCCCCCTCATTCCCTGTCTCTAAAACCAATTTAAATTTAAAAAAAGTTAGTTTTAGAGTTACTTTTTCCATTTAAAAATGTATGAAATAACATACATATATTACATGTAAAATAGAATAAAGTAACATACCACCCGGCTTTCATAAATAAGACATACTAAACATACTTTCTGTCCTTTGTTTTTTTTACTTGAGAGTATGTTCTAGGGAGCATTCTATAGAAATAGAGACTTTTCTTTGTTCCTTTTATAATACTTCATTTTAGGGGGTATACCGTAGTTTATTCAATCATTTAGGGGGTATACCGTAGTTTATTCAATCATTCCCCCATAAGTTGTTTTCAGTCCTTTGCTGTTAAAATAATGATACCATGAATTGCTTTGTCCATATACTAAAAGAAATATTCAAAGTACAAAATTTGAGAAAACATAGTAATAGAAACTTATTTCATCCTGTATTTTTAAATTCTGAGTTAAAAATGAAGAATTGGCCCTGGCCGGTTTGGTTCAGCGGTTAGAGCTTCGGCCTGCAGACCTGAAAGACCCGGGTTCGGTTCCCGCTAGGGGCGCGTACCTCAGTTGCAGTTTGTCCCTGGCCCTGGTCGGTTGTGTGGGTGGCAGCCACTCGATGTGTTCCTTTCACATCGATGTTTCTCTCTCTCTCTCTGTTCCTCTCTCTCCCTCCCACTCTACCTGAACAAAAAATGGAAAAATGTCCTCAGGTGAGGATAAAAAAAAAAAAAAAAAAAAAATGAAGAATTGGCCCAACTGGTGTGGCTCAGTGGTTGAGCATTGACCTATGCACTAAGAGATCGCCGATTTGATTCCTGTTCAGGGCACATGCCCAGGTTGTAGGCCTGATCCTCAATGGGGGCACATCCAATGTTATGTCTCATCAATGTTTCTATCTCTCTCTCCCTCTCCCTTTCTCTCTCTAATATCAATGAAGAAAAAACTTTTTTTTTTTTTATCCTCACCCGAGGATATTTTTCCATTTTTTTGTACAGATAGAGTGGGAGATAGAGAGAGGAAGGGAGAGAGAGAGAGGAAGGGAGAGAGAGTGAGAAACATCGACGTGAAGGGACACATCGAGTGGCTGCCACCCGCACGACCAACCAGGGCCGGGGACAAACTGCAACCGAAGTACGTGCCCTTAGCGGGAACCGAACCCGGGTCTCTCCAGACCGCAGGCCGACGCTCTAACCGCTGAGCCAAACCGGCCAGGGCAAGAAAAAACATTTTTTAAATGAAGAATTGGTTCTTATATAAAGCTTAAATGAATTGTTAATTTTAGGTAATTTTGAGAAGAGCATCTTATCAAACTGCCTTTATCTCATTGCAAATCCGGATTTCTCCCTGCCTTTATTTTACTGTGGTAAAAAAAAAATCAACATAGATTTTATTATTTTAACAATTTTTTTTTTTATCCTCACCCGAGGACATTTTTCCATGTTTTGTTCAGATAGAGTGGGAGGGGGAGAGAGAGAGAGAAGCATCGACGTGAAAGGGACACATCGAGTGGTTGCCATCCGCATGACCCAACCAGGGCCGGGGACAAACTGCAACCGAGGTACATGCCCTTAGCGGGAACCGAACCCGGGTCTCTCAGGACCACAGGCTGATGCTCTAACCGCTGAGCCAAACCAGCCAGGGGCATTTTAACAGTTTTTAAGTGTACAGCGAAAAAATGTTGAGTATATTCACATTATTATGAAACAGATCTCCAGAAAATTTTTTTCCCCACAACTTTTTCATTTTACAAAATAAATTATACTCATTAAACAAGAACTCCCGTTTTTTTCTTCCCTTAGCCTTTGGTAGCCACTATTCTACTTTCTGTTTCTGTGAATTTGATTACTAAAGATGCTTGCTATAAATGGAATCATACAGCATTTATATTTTTAAAAACATTTTTATTTTTTTCTTTATTGATTTTTAGAGAAAGAGAGAGAAACATCGATGAGAGAGAACATCGATTGGCCTCCTTCTCCATGCCCCCCACTGGGGATTTGGCCCACAACTTGGGCATGTGCCCTGACTGGGAATCGAACCAGCGACCTCTTGCTGCATGGTTCAACGCTCAACCACTGAGCCACACCGGCTGGGCAGCATTTGTATTTTTGACTGAGTTACTTCACATAGCATAATGTTCTCAAGGTTCATCCATGTGACAAGATTTCCTTTTTTAAGTCTGAGTACTATTCCATTGTATGTATATACCACATTTTGTTTGTCTATTCATTCATCCATAGACATTTTGGCTGCTTTTACTTTCTGGCTATTGTTAATAGTGCTGCTATGAACATAGGTGTGTAAATATCAAACATAAGTGTATAACATAGTTGTATAATATAAATGTAAAATATAGGTGTATGAACATAGGTGTATAAATATCAAATATAGGTGTATAAATATGTAATAAAGGTGTATGAAGATAGGTATATGAACATAAATGTATAAATATTAAATGTAAGTATTTCTTTGGGACCCTGCTTTAATTTTTTTGGATATATATCCACAAGTGGGATTGCTAGATTATATGGTTGTTTTTAATTTTTTGAGGAACCTCCATATTGTTTTCCATTGCAGTTGCACCATTTTATAGTCCCACCAGCATACATAAGGTTTTCAGTTTCTCCACATCCTCACCAACACTTGTTACTTTCTTTTTTAGGGATAGTAGCCATTCGGATAGGTATGAAGTGATACTTCATTGTGGTTTTGATTTGCATTTTTCTGATGATTAGTGATATGAGCATCTTTTCATGTGCTTGTTGGCCATTTGCGTATTATCTTTGGAAGAAAGTTTATTCAAGTCCTTTGCCTATTTTTTAACTGGTTGTAAATCCAAAATTTTTTATAATCTTTTATTTTTGCTGGTAGCTAACAGAGCATATATAACATAGTCTTGAGAATAATTGTGTTAATCTAAAATGTGACAGATAAGACTATGTATGAGCTAAATGTGTTTTATAATTCTTACAGGACTATTTAGAAACCAAAAAATATTAAGAGAATATAGAGACTTCTTGGGAAACACCAAGGTAAGGCTATCTTTCTGATAACATTGTGCACGCATTGCACAGTGAAATCCTAGTGTCAGTCCATTGTGAAATACTAGCATGTCTTTTATCCTAATTCAAGATTTTCTTGAGCACATTGTAATTTACTGAATTACAGTCTATTTGCCTCTGCTTTATTGAAATTTTAAATGTTGGGTTATAAGTTCTCTTTAAATTCAGTACTGTGTTGTAAACCTAAGATATAGGTAAGCGAGAAGAATTTATTTTCTCAGGTTTTTAGCAAGATTTAGCTCTCTCATATCCACCTTTAATTTTCCTTATCCTCTCTTCTACTAATAAGTCTGGTTTAACATTTATTTATTATCTTTAATGTAATTTATTTATTTTTATTGCGTTTATTGGGGTGACATTAGTTAACAAAGTTATACAGGTTTCAGGTGCACAATTCTACAACACAATCTATATGTACTGTATTGTGTGTTCACCACCCCAAGTCAAGTCTCTGTTCATCACCATTTATCTCCTCTATACCCTCTTTCACCTCTCCTGATTCCCACCCCCCATTTAAACATTTAAACTGCCAGTTCTCTGCTTATACTCCAGAAATTCAGCCCCTGGAGGAGAAAATCACATAGCTTTTTGTTGTTGTTGTTGTTAATCCTCGCTTGAGGATATTTTTCATTGATTTTTAGATGGAGTGGAAGGGAGGGAGGGAGGGAGAGAAAGAAAGAAACATCAACATGAGAGAGAGAGACACACACATTGACACATTGATTGTTTGCCTCCCACACAACCCAGCTGGGGCTGGGGATTGAACCTGCAGCCCGAGTACATTCCATTGATGCAGAATTGAACCCACGACCCTTCAATCTGAGGGCCGATGTTCTAACCGCTGAGCCAAACCGGTCAGGGCCACACAGCTATTTTGATTGCTATTTCTTTATTATATGAGTATATAAAATCAGTGGGCACTCATTATTTCACAGTCTTACTAAACTTCCACAATATATTCACTTTCCCACTCTGAGATACCTACTGAATATTTTTCTCTTTCCAAACTTCCTACAGACTCACTCTTTACTCTTCAGCTGATGACCATGCTTCATATTTCATTGATAAAATAGGTGTAGTTTGATAAAAGTGCCTCAGTTTCTATCACCAAATTTATTAACTCATTTACATGTGTGCCACAATACTGTTTCTTTTCCTACTAGAAGGAAAGTAATATTGGGACCAGTATGGGAAGTTTGTCTTCACTCTCCCACCTCTTATTCTCTCCTGAATCCTTCACAATTGGGCTTTCACGATCATCACCACACTGAAATGGCTCTTCCAACACCACCACAATGCCAAGTAGTCATGTGCAGAGTCAACTTTGCATCGAAACTTAGCTGGGAAGTACCTCCTATCAAGAAGTGAAAGTCATATCTGGAGAAAGGCTAACTGTGCAGATTGTTTTCTTTCTTCTCAGTTATATTCAAGACATTGCTCCCTTCTTGCAAAATTTAGAAATTGTCAACAAGGAAATGCTATTTTACCCCATCGTTATATCCAGAACTTCTTAATTTCCATTTCCCCTTTGAGCTCTGTGTTTCTGGCACCCCGGTGCTGCACTGAAGATGTGGACTCTCTTCAGTCGCAAAGCCGCCTATGAGCCAGCATTTTCCCTTCTGTGCCGTGCCAGCTGCTGCCACTGCATATTGCTATGGAGTAACTTAGGCTGGTAGACCTGCCTCTAGGAAAGATTTATTCTTTGCCTCCTATCTGTTTCACATGAAGAATCATCCTCACCAAATGTTTGACTAGTAGCTGTTAACTTCTGAAATCGGTGCACTAGAGGTCTTTTGAAGATTAGTACTTGTCAGCCTTGAAATGTTCCAGCTTTTAAATAGAATTTTTATCTACTACACCCTTTTTTGTAGTAATAAGATGTTAGTATTTAATTTCCCTCTACTGTTCCCATATTCCTGTTAGGAACACTCACTCTCCTACTGAAGATGGTTGCTTTTTTCTCTAAAATGTATGGGGCTAACCATGTTTGCTAGAATAAATACCTTCTTTACTTTCACTTCATTTTTTCCTTTCTGACTCAAACACTTGTGTTTCTGTTATATTTCTTCTTTGGTTTTATGGGAACTCCAGTAGTGAGATGTATGAACTCACTATATTCTGCCAAAAGCATTTTCTCATCAGAACAATATATAGCCCTCTGATATTTAATTTCTCATTGTCCCTTTAATGCATTTCCGCTTTAATATGTTTATACTTTCCTGTGCCTTCCCTTAGAATCTCAATTCTGTGAACTTCTTGGGATAGTTCTTCAGAGCAGTGGAAGTATCTTTAGCTCTATTTGCAATGATAGTATCCCTATGGAATATACCAATAGTGCTTTGAGTATTTTATGCTGATTTTCCTAGTAGCCCTCTCTGAAATCTGTCAAAATTTTCTTTTTGTTCCAGTATTTTTAAAAATCTTATTTATTGTGAAAATTTTTGAGTATATACAAAAATAGAAAAAATGGATATTTAATATACTCATCATCCAGTTTCAATAATTGAACATTTTGGCCATTCTGATCTTTAAGGGGCATTTCTCCAATTGCTTTTCTTATGGAATTTATGGGTGGCTGTAACAGAATGCTTTCCTAAGAGAGCTGTGAATCCTGGCTCCTTGTGGGTCTCTTGCTTTTCTAGATTTTGCTTCTCTTGCCGTTAGATTTCCTTAGACCTTGTCACTATTTCTGACCTAGTTACCACCAGCACATTTTCACCTTTCCTACAGCCTTCCTTATCAGAGCAATTTAAATTCAGCAAATCTTTTTCTTTATTATAACATTCTATTCTGGTTTTAAAGGTCTCACTTCCCCTCCCTGTCTGTCTTATTTGCCCATTAAGTTCTCAGACTCGCTTCTAAAGGAATCTTTCTCATCTTCCACTCTAAGCCTCACACATTAGATATTAAAGATTTTTCTTATTTAGACTTACCCAGTAATTTGTAGCCAACTCTGCCCCTCTTGCCCAGATACAGAGCTATCGAAGAACAGAAGAGAATGTGTACCAAATCCCCAAATAAAGGAAGGAGCTAAGCATGCCCAGCATTCTCCTCCAGAGTTTCTAGTTTACTTACCTCACTAAACTTAGTCTCCAGAGGCCAGTGGTGGGGAGAGGAGAGTTATGTGCAAGAGGCCAACATTAAGGAGGTAAATCTTTCTTCATGGAAATCTAAGAAATAAGGAAGAAGTGTTCAAGTGCCTACCACCAGCAGCAAGTATTCCTTTTTCTTGGAACACCTTGATCTCTAGAAGCCTAAGACAGTCTTTCTCCTGGTTTTCCTCGTCATAAATTCTTCTTCCTCTTCTGTTGTCTTTGCAAAAGACCCTGCTTTTTTAACTCATCCTTTAAATGTTGGAGATTCATTATTGGCTCCTCTGTGTTTAAATCCATTAGCAAGTCCTATTGGTGTTTTCTCCAACATAGTTACCTAGTATGACTCCCTCTCACCATGTCCCTGATTGAAACCCTAGTCATCACCATCTCTTACCTGGACTGCTCTTCTAATTGATCTCTCTGCCTTTGCCCCATAATTCATTCTCTACATCATAAACTATGTCTTTTTCAAACATAAATCAGACTATGTCAAAGATCTGCTTAAAATCATCCAGTGGCTTCTTTTTGCCATTAGAATAAGATTTCCTTTCGTTTGGGTCTGTTTTGGAATTAAACACATTATTATCACTTGAGGTCTTTGGTTTTTAGTGAATAGTCAGGAGTTAAATTAGAGCAGCAAAGTTGTTGGCTTTGGCTATTCTGTGTTTAAAAGTTGCTTGAACCCTGGCCGGTTTGGCTCATCGGTTGGAGCATTGGCCTGTGGACCAGAGAGTTCTGGGTTCTGTTCCCGCTAGGGGCACATACCAAAAAATAAATAAAAAATAATGAAAGTTGCTCAAGAAATGGAAAAATTTTAGAGTTGATTTCCATTCAATATACTTTATCCATAGTTGTAAAGTTTATTTTATTCTTTAAATCTTTATCCTTACCCGAGGACATGTTGTTTTTAATTCATTTGAGAAAAAGAGGGAGGGAGGGTTGTGGGTGGGTGGGTAGAAAGAAAGAGAGAGAGCCCTGGCCGGTTTGGCTCAGCGGTTAGAGCATCCGCCTGCGGTCCGGAGAGACCCGGGTTCGGTTCCCGCTAAGGGCACATACTTCGGTTGCAGTTTGTCCCCGGCCCTGGTTGGTCGTGCGGGTGGCAGCCACTCGATGTGTCCCTTCACGTCGATGTTTCTCTCTCTCTCTCCCTTCCTCTCTCTCCTTCCCACTCTCTCTGTACAAAAAATGGAAAAATATCCTCGGGTGAGGATATAAAAAAAAAGAAAGAGAGTGAGAGAGAGAGACAGAAACATTGATTGGTTGCCTCCTGTATATGCCCTGATTGGGTATCGAACCTGCCACCTAGGTATGTGCCCTAACAGGGAATCAAATCCACAACGTTTTGGTGTACAGGATAATGCTCCAACCAATTGAGCCACCCTATCAGGGCTATCACTAGTTTTTATGTAACCAACTCAGATTCTTTCTTGAAGTAGGCAGAAAATCAATTACAAGGAAACAAAATAAACAGTTAAGGTTCTGGAAAAGGACCCAGATGTACTTTGAATTTCCATTTTCCCACTTTTTAAAGAAGAAATTCTGGATAAACAGAATTAAATAAGTAAGCCTAGTTGTTTAGAGATATTGATACAAAAGGTATTTTCTGGTGTGTCAGAATCACTTATAGGCATTAAAGTGCTTCTCCTAGAAATTTTAAAAAATTTTAAAATTGTTTTTCATTTATAGCCACGTTCCAGATTGAGATCAGTTTTTCTTAAGGGGCCAGGAAAAGTGGTGATGGTTGCCATTTGCATGTAAGTACTGAAAAATAAGCCTTTTAAATTAGAAATGTACTATTTTACGTATATATTCTTGAATGTATACATTTATTTGTTGGGATCTTTTTCTTTTTTCAATGTTTTTATTGATTTTTTTTTTTTTTTTTAATCCTCACCCAAGGATATTTTTTCCATTTTTTGTACAGATAGAGTGGGAGGGAGAGAGAGGAAGAGAGAGAGAGAGAGAGAAACATTGATGTGAAAGGGACACATCGAGTGGCTGCCACCCGCACGACCAACCAGGGCCGGGGACAAACTGCAACCGAAGTACGTGCCCTTAGCGGGAACCGAACCCGGGTCTCTCCAGACCGCAGGCCGGTGCTCTAACCGCTGAGCCAAACCGGCCAGGGCTATTGATTTTTTTTAGAGAGAGAGATAGAGACATTGATGTGAAAGAGAAACATCGATTGACTGCCTCCTGCACATTCCCTGCCTGGGGATTGAGCCTACAACCCTGGCATGTGCCCTAACCAGGATCGAACCAGGACCTCCCAGTGCATGGGACAACACTCAATCCACTGAGCCACACCAGCCAAACTATTAGTTGGTATCTTAATAAAGATTTAGAGGTTTATATTGTTTTAGGAGGAAGTTGAATGTCTTTTTTTTGTCAGTAAATTGATGGGGGAAGAGTCCATTTAGATATCCATGTTTGTGCTATGTATATTTTTGATGCGGTTAAGATCTAAGAACAGTTGCTATCTGAAAATTCTTACTTTCATTGAAGTTGATAGAAGTCTTTATTTTATTATTATTATTTTTTTATCCTCACCCAAGGATATTTTTCCATTTTTTTGTACAGATAGAGTGGGAGGGAGAGAGAGGAAGGGAGAGAGAGAGAGAAACATCGACGTGAAGGGACACATCGAGTGGCTGCCACCCGCACGACCAACCAGGGCCAGGGACAAACTGCAACCGAAGTACGTGCCCTTAGCGGGAACCGAACCCGGGTCTCTCCGGACCGCAGGCCGACGCTCTAACCGCTGAGCCAAACCGGCCAGGGCAGAAGTCTTTATTTTAAAACTTGGGATAACCAAGGTTATTTTTAGAGTAATTAAATCAACCTGGGTTATAGCTGCTGAAGAGTATCTGCACTCTTACTTTTCTCTCACCTACTTTGCTGTAGAGCATAATAGACATTTTTCCATCTTTTTCCTCTGTCTTCTTGATTCCTATTGTTTTGTTTATCTTTTGTCCATTTTGTTGAATAATCTATTTTAAAATGTTTAAAAGCATTAATTCCATAATTCATTAGTTTATTCCTTTATTTCTAAAATACATGTATATTATGTGTATCAGGAATTGTGATAGCGTCTGGAAATACAAAATTCTTATCTTTAAGGATTGGAGGGGCACTCAACTAAAGGAAGTCATTTACAATTATACAGAAAAGAGATGACTGTACACAAAACTAAAATAGTGGTTGTAGAAATGTAGGGATGTAGGGACATGCTTAGGTTCAGAAAGTATTTAGGAGGGATTGAAGAAGACATTGCCCATATTTCTGGACAGTTAGAGATATTGTACCATCACTGAGAGAAGAAACACTGGAAGGAGGGGCAGGGTGGCAGCAAGGAAATGTTAAGTTCAGTTTTGAGTTGGAGTTTTTATAGAACACCCAAGTGGAGATGGTCAACAGGATTAGTTTTTTTTTTTTTATCCTCACCCGAGGACATTTTTTTATTTTTTGTTCAGATAGAGTGGAAGGAAGAGAGAGAGAGAGAAACATTGACATGAGAGGGACACATCGAGTGGCTGCCACCTGCACGACCCAACCAGGGCCGGGGACAAACTGCAACGGAGGTACGCGCCCTTAGCGGGAACAGAACCCAGTCTCTCTGAACCACAGGCCGACGCTCCAACCGCTGAGCCAAACTGGCCAGGGCAGTATTAGTTTTTTTTTGTCAGTAAAACGGGGTTAGCATTTAAAGTTTTCTTCATGAGAGGATTGTATGTAATATATGTAAACTGCTTAGCATAGTACCGGGTACATAATATGTACTTCATAATTATTGTTAATATTTATTGGTGTAAAGCTCAGGAGGGAGATTTGGATTAGAGATTTAGAGTTGAGAGTTATTGGTATATAGATGATAATTAAAGCCATAGAAGAATGTGTATAACGTGAGGAATAAAAAGCCCTCAGAAAAAACCTTGATGAATGCTAATATCTAAGAAATGGTGGAAGAGAAAGAGCCTACTGAGGAAGATTAAGGAGCAAGGTAGGAGAAAAACCAGAAGTTTCATAGAAGTCAAGGAAGACAGTGATTTAAGAATAGTGGCAGTGCCCGGCTGGTGTGGCTCAGTGGTTGAGCGTTGACCCATGCACCAAAAGGTCGCCAGTTCAGCACATGCCCAGGTTGTGGGCCCGATCCCCAGTGGGGGGCATGAAGGAGGTGGCCAATTGATGTTCTCTTTATTGATGTTTCTATCTCTCTCTCCCTCTTCCTTCCTCTCTCTCTAAAAATCAATAAAGAAAAAAAAAATAGTGGCAGCCCTGGCCAGTGTGGCTCAGTTGGTTGGAGCATTGTCCCATACACTGAAGGGTGGTGGGTTTGATTCCTGGTGAGGGCACATGAGTGGGTTGTGGGTTTGATTCCTGATCAGGGTACATGCGTGGGTTGCAGGTTTGATTCCTGGTCAGGACACATGCATGGGTTACGGGTTCGATCCCTGGTTGGGGCATGTGCAGGAGGCAACCAGTTATTGTTTCTCTTTCACATTGATATTTCTCTCTCTCTTTCTCCCCTCTCTGCCTTCGTCTCTCTAGAATCAATGAAAAACATATCCTTGGGTGAGGATTAAAAGAAAATGGTGGCAAATGCTTCTGTGAGATTAAGAAAAATACTAAAATGTTTCTAGGAATTTCATAGCAAGAAATGATCGGTGGTAGTGGAGGCAGAAGCCATTATTGAATGCATTGGACACTGCACAGAGTGAGGAAAACTGAGAATGATTCTTTACATTATTTCAAGTGGAGGAGAGGAGATGTATACTCTTCTCATTTATAAAACGAGAATGTTAATCTTTGTGTAATAGAGTTAAAATATGACAAATAACTAGTATAGTGCCTGAGATAATCATGCTAGTCATTACTATTAGGGTCTGAGCAGTTGGCTTGCTCAAAGCTAATCATATTTATTTTAGCATCTATGCTCTAGTATGACCCAGAGACTGCTTGGTCTAGAATTGTCTTCACCTATTTAAGTAAACAGACCTTCACCAAAGTCTTATCTTTGACACTGATCTCCTGGACAGTATTGAGTGCATATCTTTTACCGGAGGCACACAATTTCCTTTCAGTTTTATTTTGTCTAAATGTAAAACATCCTCTTTTCTCATCAATTCTCAAATGCGCTTAATTTGCTTACACACATCATGCCTCTTCATTTGAATATTTAATGATACCGTAGTCTGTATTTTTCAAATTTTTACTCGTTAACCAGAAATGTAATAAGTTTTTGAAGACTAGAGATGTTTTTAATTTACTTTGTTGTTGTTTTTTTAAACATTTGACAACCATCACTTTATTATTTTTTTATCCTCACCCAAGGACAGTTTTGCATTTATCTTCGGATAGAGTGGGAGAGAGAGAGGAAGGAATGGAGAGAGAGAGAAACATTGATGTGAGAGAGACACATTGAATGGTCACCACACACACGACCCCAACTGGGGCCGGGGACAAACTACAACCGAGGTACGTGCCCGTAGCGGGAACCAAACCCAGGAATCTCTGATCCTCGAGCCGACACTCTAACTGCTGAGCCAAAGCGACCAGGGCTTAATTTACTTTGAACACAGTCTAGTATAGAGGTTTATATGGTCAATTAAATAAGCTTTTGGTGAAATTTTTGTTCAAACCAATGATAAAATGCTTTCTCTTTTTTTTCTAGCAATGGATTAAATTGCTTCTTTAAATTTCTTGCTTGGATTTATACGGGTTCAGCAAGTATGTTCTCTGAAGCTATACACTCTTTATCTGATACTTGTAATCAGGTGAGGGATAAAAGCTTTTTTCTTATTAATTTTAAAGTAATTTTTTACTGCTTTAATCTAAAAGTTGACCTGTTTCAAAACTGAATAATTCCTATAGTTGGCATGTGAAGAAAAAGAAAATTGTTTTACTTTTGAATGATGAAGTACATAGAAATATGGTCATGTTACTTTAAAGAAGGTTGTTAGGCTTTAAGAACGTCCAACAGTGGAATATGAAGTATAAGATTATCAGTCACTAAGTGTTTGGGCAGAAGTTTTTATAGAAAAGATTCTTACATTAGGTGGAGATTTTATCTCTCAATATGAGTTCTTATGACTGTAAAAGCCACTGAATTTAAGTTTTTTGAATAATGATATAAATTAATCCCATGTTACTGAGGATGAATTAGAATTTCACATTAGACTGGTATTTTTTATTTATTTTTATTCTCACCTGAGGACATTTTTGCATTTATCTTCAGACAAAGCGAGAGGGAGAGAGGGGGGAAGAGAGAGAGAGAGAAAAACATCGACGTGAGAGAGACATATCGACTGGTTGCCACCCACACAACCCCAACGGGGGGCCGGGGACAAACTGCAAGCAAGGTACGTGCCCTTAGCGGGAACCGAACCTGGGACTCTCTGGTCTGCGGGCTGACGCTCTAACCGCTGAGCCAAACCGGCCAGGGCTAGACTAGTATTTTTAATTCCTTTCCTGAATTTGCAAATGAAGAAATATTTTTATAAAATAAAAATACCTTCTTAATCCAAATTTTGAATATTATAAACCTAAGCCTTTTTAAAAAACACAATAAAATTTCTACTTGTGTTATTATTTCACATTTTAAAGAATGTAGTGTATTAAGAGAATGGCTTTGTAGTGTTTATTTATACCCCTGTTATGTAAGAATGAATTTGGGAGAACTTAAAAAAACAACAGGTTCAATAAGAATATTTAACACAAAGTTAAAAATAATTAAATGGTAAAAAATAGGGAGAGCCATCTTAACTAAATATTAAACCCAAGAACTCACCTAACTCACTGTCAAATAGATTAAAATCCTTTGCAAAAGTAAGGAAGGAAATTACACATTTGCTATTAGTACTAACAAGTCTTTCCCCTGAATTACATTTTTGTACAGTAAATACTTAGTAACTACTACCAGCATAATATTTTCCCATTCTGTGGAATGGAGAAAGGGGAGAGGATTTGGGGAGAGACACATATCACATAATGTCTATTTTGTTGAAAGCTTATTTGATCTTATGAAAATTGAAATGCAAAAGTATTTGACAGCCCTGGCTGGTTTGGCTCAGCGGTTAGAGAGTCGGCCTGTGGTCCAGAGAGACCTGGGTTCGGCTTCCGCTAAGGGCACGCACCTCGGTTGCAGTTTGTCTCCGGCCCTGGTTGGGTCATGCAGGTGGCAACCACTTGATGTGTCCATTTCACATCGATGTTTCTCTCTCTCTCTCCCTCCCACTCTATCTGAACAAAAAATGGAAAAAATGTCCTCGGGTGAGGATAAAAACAAACAAACAAAATATTTGTACATAAGGATAAGGAGATATGTACAGATTATTATTTATTAGTAGTTGTTATTAAAACATTGAAGCTGGTTTTTCAGTGATTATACTCTGAAGTACTATTCAGGGTTTTAAAAGAATGTGGTAGTTATAGCTGTGTACTGACCTGAAATAATAATATGATAAATTGAGTAAAAAAAAAAAAATTAAATTGTAAGGCATTATGTAAAGAACTTTTGCTTCTAGGCATGATGAACTGCTGGAGACAAAACTTAGTCTTTTTCTGTAAACAACTGGAAAACTAGATAAAATATATGAAACAATCTTTTCAGAACTTTGGACAATAGCAGAACAGGACCATGATCCTTGAGAGAAGGGAAACAAATGAGCTGAACTCTGATCTCTCTGGCTTTTTGCTTGGCGGCACGTGTGGCGTAGTGGAGCAGAGATAACAGTCTCATTAAGTGGAGAAGGCAGAAATTAGAGTGTAGCAAGTCTGAGGAGGCTAGAAATTACAAGGCAGAGTTCCACAGAGGATCAAACTCTAAAGGATCATGCTGCAACTTAATTACCTGCCAGAAAAGAGCTCCACACTCTAGAAGGAAGGCAACAAAATCCAGACACTCAATATAACATTCACAGTGTTCAGCATTTAATGAAAAAAAGAAAAAAAAATTAGCCAAAAATGTAGAACATTTGACTTATCACTAGGAGAAAAAGTTAGTAGAAACAGACTCAATTGACATATGATAGAATTAGCAGACAAGGATGTTAAATGGCTGTTACAACTACATTCATGTACTGAAAGGAAAACATGAATGTATCGACAAGAGAAATGGAATACATAGAAAAGAACTAACTCAGGCTGTTGTGACTCACTTGGTTGGGTGTTGTCCCATGCACCAAGAGGTGGCTGGTTCAATTCCCAGTCAGGGCGCATGCCTAGGTTGCAGATTCAATCCCCAGCCCCAGTCAGGGTCATGTGGGAGGCGACCAGTCTGTGTCTCTCTCACATCAATGTTTCTTTCTCTCCCTCCCTCCCTCCCTCCCTTCCGCTCTATCTAAAAATCAATGGGAAAACATACCCTTGGGTGAGGATTAACAAAAAAAAGAACATGGAGATATATACCATGTTCATGAATTGGATGACATGATGTTGATATATCAGATCTCCCTAAATTGATCTATAGATTTAATACAACTCCAGTCATCCCAGCAGGTTTTTTTTGTTAGAAATTGAAAACTAAATAAATTATAAAATTTATAATGGAAATGCAAAGAACTGAGAATATTCAAAGCAATCTTTTAAAAAAAGGAATTTGAGGGACTTCCAACTTATTATAAAACTACAGTAATTAAGACAGTGAGATATTGGCCTAAGGATCAACAGACCAATGTAACTGAATAGGGGATCCAGCAACAGAATCACAGTAACACGTGGTTAGCTGAGTTTTGACAAAGGCATCTAAGCAATTCAATGAAGAAAGAAAACTCTCTTCAACAAATGGTACTGGAAAAGTTGAATAGCCTTATGGAAAAAAAATCAAAGTACCTTAACTCCCACCTCAGACCATATTCAAATTTGAGGTAGGTTATAGGCCCAAACATAATAGCAAAAACTGAGGATTTTAGAAGAAAACCTAGGAGAATATCTTCTAGATCTTTAGGTAGACAGAGATTTCTTTTTTTTTTTAATCTTCACCCGAGGACACTTTTGCATTCATCTTCAGATAGAGCGAGAGGGAGAGAGGGAGGAAGAGAGAGAGAGAAATATCAATGTGAGAGAGACACATCGACTGGCTGCCACCCACACAGAGCCAATCAGGCCGGAGACAAACTGCAGCCGAGGTACATGCTCGTAGTGGGAACCGAACCTGGGTCTCTCTGGACCGTGGGCCGACGCTCTAACCTCTGAGCCAAACCGGCCAGGGCGACAGAGATTTCTAAAACAGGACACAGAAATAAAACTATGAAAGAAAAAAGTTACAAATTAAACCATAAAAATTAAAACCTGTTACTTATGAAAAGACATTCTTAAGAAGGTAAATAGGCAAACCACAAATTGGGAGGAAATATTTACAAAGCATATAATCTGACAAAGGATTGGTATCCAGGATGAGTAAAGAACTTCTACAACTCAGTTAAAAGACAACTCAATTTCTTTAAGAGGCTCAGTATTTGAATAGGTACTTCACAAGTAAAGATACATAAATGGTAGCCAATGGACACATGAAAAAGTGCTTAACATCATTAGTTATCATGAAATGTATATTAAAACCCCAAGAAGACATCTCTACATGTCTAGTATAGTAGCTAAAATTAAAAACCCTCATAACCAAATGTTGCTGAAGATGTGTAGTAACCAGACTTCTCAGGCATTGCTGGTGGAGTGTAAAATGTTAAACTACTCTTGAAAATGTTGTCAGTTTCCTGTAAACAGATGCCTATTATATAATTCAGTAAGTCTACTCCTAAGTATTTTCCCAAGGAAAATGGGAATGAATGTCTACAAAGACTTGTATAAGAATGTTTATAGCACCATTACTTATAATGGACAAAAATCTGGAATTAACCCAAATATTCATCAAAGTGGAAGAGATAAACAAATTGTGGTACGGTATACACAAGCAATAAAAAATGAGGTACTTATTCAGTAGAAGTATGTATGTATCTCCAACAATATGTTGAATAAAAGAAAGCAAACACAATGGAGTACTTACTGTGTGATTCCATTTATATGACGTTCTAAATAGAACTTACTAATCTTTGGTTTAAAATTCAGAAAATGGTTGCATTTGGTATGGGGAGGACTTCTTGAAAAGCAGCACAAGAGAACTTTTTTGAGGTGATGAAAAGGTTCTGTGTCTTTATAGGAATATATGTTTCAGATGTGTGTATATTTTTCAAACCTCAACTGTACATTCAGGATTTGTGCATTTCATTGTATGTGAAGTTTAGCTCAAAATTTAAAATTTTCCTGTGTGGAAATGTGATTACTATGTAGATATTTGATAATATTTTGGAATTAGTGTTGATTTTAAAAAGTATGATAATAGTCTTGTCACTATATTTTCTAAAAGACCTAGTTTTTTAAGAAATTCATCCAAAATGTTTAAAAATTAAATGGTATAGTGCTTGGAATTTACTTGAGAGTATTCATGGGGGAGTAGGTATAGATTAGATAAAACAGATGTGATCATGTGTTTGTAACTGTCAGAGCTTGAGTGATGGATGAATTGGATTTATTGAAATGTTCTATTGGGATTTTTTGTTTTTATTTTGTTATTTTGTTTTTAATTCATCCATCTATCTGTATGTTAGAAAATGTTCATACAATGAAGTGCAAAATGACGTTATGTAGATGTGATCATATTGTTTAAAAATGCACACGCATACACCTGTCTGAAATCTGGTACTGTCTTTATATACAAAACAATATTAAAAATTATATACATTTGTATAAAAAAACAGTCTGAAACATACTCCAAATTCGTAAATGGTTCCCTCTTCTCTACTGTTTGAAATTCTTTACAATGAGCATGTGTTAGTTTTGTAACTAGAAAACCAAATTAATTTTTGTAACAGATTGAACAGTAATAGAGTTAAATAAAAGCTTAGATCACATGATACCAGGTTCTTTGAGAACTCCTTGGTGAGCAGTTTGTCTTGATTAGAGTGGCCAGAAAGACTTCGATGAAAAAGATTTCAACTGGGCCTTACTGAATAGATGGAATTGTATCTATCATGTCCTTTTGAGACCTATAATAACATTTAAAACTTTAATTCATTATTATATTTTTATGCTACAGTATTATTTTTTTCTTTATCTTTTGAGGGAATAAAGCACCTCCAATTTTTAAATTAGACCTGTGTCTCTAATGATACTGTTTTATAATTTCTGCAACAGTTCATTTGAGAAATCTTTTCTGCTAATAATACACAGTACATTATTAGGTATAGTTTATTGCACACTTGAGTTTGCTATGTATTAAGTGTTTAGAAGAAGACACAGTCCTTGCTTCGTCTTCTGTAAGCAGGTCATACATACAAAACATCTAGAAAGATATGCCAAGACAACATTTAAGCAGTTGCACGATAGTGTGAGGAAAACCTTAAAAAGGAAAGATGATCACAAAAGGGGGAGCATTAATAATGCTTCTCAACTACTAGATGTTAATATTCATTAATGCTATAAACCAAACAAATGTAGGTATATATATGTAGCATTTATATGCACATATATACATGTGTTGTAAATGAGCAGGAAAAGGTCTGGAAGGAATATCAAACATAACTAATGCTACCTTACCTCTGGAGGAGAACAGGATGAGAGGATCTGTGATATTTTTATAAGGAGAACTAATAAATATGGTTCATATTAAGTTTATAGAATACTTGATAATATCCCACACTTTATTGCACAGACAACCTTAATATTAAGGATTTTAAAAGTTGAATACTAGCCTAGCCAGTGTGGCTCAGTGGTTGAGCGTCAACCCATGCACCAAGAGGTCGCTGGTTGGATTCCCGGTCAAGGCGCATGCCCAGGTTGTGGGCCATTTCCCCTGTGGGGGGCATGTAGGAGGTGGCCAGCCAATGTTCTCTCTCATCGATGTTTCTATCTCTCTCCCCCTCTCCCTTCCTCTATCTCTAAAATCAGTGAAGAAAAAAATTTAAAAATAAATAAAATAAAAATTGAATACTCATTGACTATTTCATAAACATAAACACATATATATGCATAGCGTGAATTAATAAATATTTCAGTTTTAATATACAAGGTTAAAAATTATATGTTCTTTTTAATTTATCCTGATTCTCTTAGTTTAATTCACTGAAAAGCCATCAGTTTTTAGGTAGTTTTAACTCTTTTCCTTTGGAGTCCAGTAGAAAAATAAACAAACCTGTAATAGTCTTCCAGTATCAAAACTTAAAAATTTATGTTCTCATTTTTGCCTAATTTACTTCAGAGGTGTGTATGTGTGTGTGTGTGTGTGTGTGTGTGTGTGTATGTGTGTGTTTTATCCTCATCCGAGGACATTTTTTTATTTTTTGTTCAGATAGAGTGGGAGGGAGAGAGAGGAAGAGACAGAGAGAGAGAAAAATCAATGTGAAAGGAACACATCGAGTGGCTGCCTCCTGCATGACCCAACCAGGGCCGGGGATAAACTGCATCTGAGGTACGTACCCTTAGCACCCTTAGTACGCACCCTTAGGTGTCTCTGGACCACAGGCCGACGCTCTAACCGCTGAGCCAAACCGGCCAGGGCTGTGTGTGTATTTTGTTTTTTGAGAAATAAAATCTTAGTTTTACCTAGTCCTCCACCTTTATTTTTTCCTTCCATATCTCTCAAAATCACTGCTCTGTAAAATTGATATGTAAAATTCCTGTGCATGGTTTTGCTGTTTTACTAGTAATGTATGTATCAATAGACAATATTTACTGTTTTAAAATTTGACAGTCTTTTATTTGTACACTTATACATGTTATCCTTCATATATAAAAACACCACAGATATTATAGACCACCCTAATCCTGCTTTTCTCCTCCGAGGTAAAAATATAGTTAAACGTGCATTTTTCTAGACCTTCCCCTTTGCTTTACATTATATGTAGTTTACAAAAACTACACAACGTAAGTTCTGTACTATATATACTGTTTCTAAACTTGCATTTTCAAAACCCTTACACTTGGTATGTCTAGGAGCTTTGAGCATGTCAGTACATAAAGCTCTGTCTCGACTCCATTCTTTTAAACTGTTGTAGAAGTAGTTTATGGTTTGGCTATCCCATTATTTATTTTGCCATTCCTCAGCGATGGACTTTAGGTTGCTTTCAGATTTTTCATCTTTATAAACAATGATGTTTTGAACTCCTTTGTGTTCATTTTTCTTTCTCTTGGGTAAGTATTAGAAACTAGAATTGCTGAGCTGTTGGACATGTGTATCTGTGTTTCTTTGTCATTTTCAGATTGCATCCTCCAGATTGGCTTTACCACATTTTATTCCCCATTCGCTAATGATTATTTACCTTTTTCCTTCTTCTCCATAGGGTTTACTAGCATTGGGCATCAGTAAGTCTGTTCAAACACCAGATCCTACTCATCCGTAAGGACATTGCCTTTATCTTTCTGTTTCTTTTCATGGCAAGTCATTGAAATAAAAGCAACTTAATTTTAGAAACCTACTGTTTATGTACCTGCAGTTTGTGTTAAAGACTTGGTCATTTCTTCCACTGACGTATACTCATTGCTATGTCAAAGTAAATTTGAAAATAGAGTTTAAATTATTTATGTGCTTTGTAACATGGCATAGAGATCTTGTTCTTTTATATTTGATAATTAAAAATAAAGCACATATTTTGATTTTAGAGTTCTTTTTTTTAAAAAAAAATACGTTTTTACTGATTTTTTAGAGAGAGAAGAACGTAGAGAGAGATAGAAACATCCATGTGAGAGAGAAACATCAATTGGCTGCCTCCTGCATGTCCCCCACTAGGGATCGAGCCCACAATCTGGACATGTGCCCCCGACTGGGAATCAAACTGGGATCTCTCAGTCCATGGGATGACACTCAATCCACTGAGCCACACTGGTCAGGCTAGAGTTCTGTTTTATTTGGTCCAAGGAAACATATATTTCATACTTAGACTAATAGAGCACTCAATCTAAAATAGTGATACCATCTAGTAAATCCATAGTTAATCTATTTAAATCCTCTTATTGTGATTTGGAAATAGCATTCTGTTAATATTTTAGATTATTTATTTGTAAAATGCGTATGCTTTTTATAATATATTATTTTGATTCCTACCAGTTGTTTGATAGAGATTTTTTTGTTGTTGCTTCTAACATAGCCAGCTAAAACTTTTGAATTCCTTAAGCATCATTTTTAGAAACATACTTCAGTAATAGAATTTGATCAATCTTAAGACAAAAAATACACTTTTATTTCTGTAAAGGAGTCTACCTCTGTGCTTTATAAATGCCTTTCTTTACTTAAAAGCAAGATACTACTGTTTTTTTTATAAATAATAACATTTTCTGCCTATTAGATTTTCTGAGCAGTTTTATACACCCAAAATTTTAAAACATGGTAAAATAAAATTTTAAAAACATGGTTGTGAAGATTTTTTCTCAAAGTATTTTCAATAACCTATTTTAGTGCTGCAAAATCTTCTACAAAATTTATTCAATATATTAGTCACTAAGCAACATATGACTATTGAGCACTTGAAATGTGGCTAGTGCAAACATTTGAAAATTTACTTAGCTAAATTTAAATTGCCTTGTGTGGTAATGATTTATTTTGGACAGTGCAGATCTACTGAATTAAAAATTTCAGTAAGAATCTACAAGTCTCTTGAAAATTCATTATGAAAATAATGCTGTTTAATTTAGGTCTTCATTTACTTTACATACGTGTGCGCGCACGCGCATGTATTTGGTGGGGAAATCTTTTAGAAGAAAAATTTTTCTAAATCAAGCCCATAGAACATTATACATTTATAAAGTAAGAATTCCCTATGTCAAGATTATATATTTACAAAAAATATAAAAATCAGTTTTTAATAAGCATTCTTATTTAATTTCATCTGCCAGAAGGGTGCCATAGAATTTGGGTTTGGGAGTAAATTTCCTAGGAAATATTTTTATTAAGGAGTGAGTCTTTTCTTTTTATAGCATGTCATATTTCTTAAGTTAATACTCAGTATTTTATTGGTATATTCAGAAATACAAAAGAATGTACATAAAGACCAAAGATACTTGAAAAATGATTGAGATTTTAAAAATTGTCATAAAAACACCCAGAAAATGAGCTCTTAGTCCTAGAAGTTAAGTTGCTGTGTGCTAAAGTATATAGAACCAGCAACAAGTATCCAACCTCAAATTATAGGTAATATAAATCATCGATTGGCTGTACAAGAAGACCAAAATAATTCAATTAGAAGCTGTATTACAAGGAAATTTAAATGTTATCCTGTTCATTAACATTTGAATGTATTTTTAAAAAATATTAATTTTACAAGCATTTGTAGTACATTAAAGTACTTCTATTAAATTAAAATAAACTATATAGACAAGGAATCAGCAAAATATTCCTGTATTAAATTATATTCATTGTATTTATGTATTTTCAAAGAACTTGCAGTTTTCCCTCCCTTTATGTTGACTTTCTGATTAGATTTGAGTTGGGCACTTCAACTTTATTTAAATATAAAACCATAACATCTTAATATTGTAAGAAGTTTTTTTGTTTTCATTAACCTAGTAAACATATATTTTGAAAGGAAACAATTTGTATTTCTTGTAAACTATATTACTGTTTTTATTTTTCAGGTATGGATTTTCAAATATGCGCTACATTGCTTCACTAATAAGTGGCGTTGGTATTTTCATGATGGGTGCAGGATTATCTTGGTACCATGGAATTATGGGTTTGCTTAATCCTCAACCAATGGAATCTCTGCTCTGGGTAATCACTTTCCCCCCTCAGTTTTGAAGTAACATGAAATAGTATTTAAGTATGGTGGAATGCCTTAGTCATATTGATATTAAAGAACAGGGCTAACATACACCTTCTTGACTGTTATAAAGGGTTATGTATCTGTAGTGATGACCTCTAAATTCATACAATTTAATGATGGCAGTTCCATTAATTTTTTTAGTTTCTGTTGAAGACATTTGTTCACTTTTAGCCCCAAGAATAATCTCTCATCAGTTATTAAAATATCCAGTCCCATGTAATAGTCATATGTTGGAGTTGTATATTAAGGTAAAGTTTCTCATTTCCTCCCCTGGTAAGAAGCCTACACTGGATAAATGGGAAGATGGGAACATAGTCACCTTATATCTTTCCACCCAGGGTTTCTACCCTTCTCTCCTACTCCCTAGGTTGCTTCTGGCAACATTGAAAGCAGGAATAGGGGACAAACAGCACTACTTTTTTGGCATCATTGTCATTTTGCACCAGTTTCCTCTGACCTTTGTAGAGATTTAAAGCTGTTTTTTGTTTTTTCTGTCACGGGCACTTAATGGAGATTACCTTGCTTGGCTAGCTCCCTTGATGAGCACAGTTTGGTCATGTAGAACACACACCCTCTTACCTTCTGCGTCTCCTGGTATAAAAAGTCCAGACTGCCCTGGCCGGTTTGGCTCAGCGGTTAGAGCGTCAGCCTGCGGTCCAGAGAGACCTGGGTTCGGTTCCCGCTAAGGGCATGTACCTCAGCTGCAGTTTGTCCCCAGCCCTGGTTGGTTGTGCTGGTGGCAGCCACTCGATGTGTCCCTTTCACATCGATGTTTCTCTCTCTCTCTCTCGTCCTCTCTCTCCCTCCCACTCTATATCTGAACAAAAAAATGGAAAAATGTCCTCGGGTGAGGATAAAAAAAAAAATTCCAGACTATTTCTGCTGAGGTTGCTTTGCATTTAGCAAGAAGCCTTGGGGCAGTTGGTGTCTTTTCAGAAGACCGCCCTACTCAATTCCATGTCTGGGTCCTGTGTGTTAAAATACACATCTTTGACACATTCTTTGTGGGAGCGCAGTTTTTTCCCCAAACCCAGATATCTGCTCTGCTGACACAGATAATATTGGTTAGTAGACTTGTCTATAAATTGGGTGTGCATTAGATACAGTTCACTGTGATCACTAACCTCTAGGGACACACATCCAGCTTTCTGTGCAATCTCAACAGCTTTCTCCAAAGAAATTTTTACTTTTGGCTTCTTTGACCTCAGTTGTGCTTATGTAGGCTAGTGGGTGTGGAACTAGGAGTTGTAAAACCAGGATTGGGCCACCTGTGCAAGGCTTGAATAGATGGGAGAGTGCCCCATTTTGGAATGTGGGGTACTTGTAATCGACTTTGTTCTCAACTGGAGTGAATCTCATTCATTTTTAAAATTTTTGTTATTTTTTTGTTAATCCTCACCCAAGGATATTTTTTCCACTAAATTTTTTTTTTTTTTTTTTTTTGAGAGAGTAGAAGGGAGGGAGGAAGGGTGAGAGAGAGAGAGAGAGAGAGAGAGAGAGAGAGAGAGAGAGAGAGAGACATCAGTGTGCGAGAGACACATCGATTGGTTGCCTCCTGCACATGCCCCAACTGGGGCCAGGGATCAAACCTGCAATCCAGGTATGTGCCCTTGACTGGAAATAAACCCTTGACCTTTGGTTCACGGGGCTACACTCTAACCATTGAGCACACTGGCCAGAGCTGGAGTTAATGTCATTTTAACTTCTTGTTACACCTATATACCTACATAATAACACGCCTATGAAACTAGGCTTTTTCTATAGTTTTTATTGACTGGTTGTTTACCCTAATACATTTTATATAATTAAAATGAAGAAGGGCCTGGCCATTGTGGCTCAATGGTTGAGCATCGACTCATGCACCAAGAGGTCTCCAGTTTGATTCCCAGTCAGGGCACATGCCCAGGTTATGGGCCAAATCCCTAGTTGGGGGCATGCAGGAGGCAGTTAGTCCATGTTCTCTCTCATCGATGTTTCTATCTTTCTCTCTCCCTTCTCTCTAAAATCAGTAAAGAAAAAAATTTTTTAAATAAAAAATAAAATGAAGAAGGATATTTTCTCCATTCTGCAAAGGTTTGGCCATGTTATAGATATCTCACTGCCTTAGCATTCATCTAATTTGTACAATGTTACTTTATAGAGGCAAATAAATGAATTACTCTGGAATTAGGGATTGATTAATTAAATATTCAATTGTGTATATGTTTTTTGTGTTTTTTTTATAATCCTCACCTGAGGACATTTTTCCATATTTTGTTCAGATAGAGTGGGAGGGAGAGAGAGGAAGAGACAGAGAGAAAGAAACATTGATGTGAAAAGGACACATCGAGTGGCTGCCACCCGCACGACCAACCAGGGCCAGGGACAAACTGCAACCGAGGTATGCGCCCCTAGCAGGAACCGAAACCAGGTCTCTCTGGACCACGGGCCGACGCTCTAACCTCTGAGCCAAACCGGCCAGGGTGAAGTTTTGAAGCTTCTAGAAGCTCTTCTATCTTTCAGTAGCTAAATGACATTCCTTCCATCAGATAATGACTGTTATTAAATAATAGATTCAGCACACCATAGACCAATTTATATTTATTAAGTATTATCTTGGAATCTTGGTGAATATATGGTGTCTCATTTCCTTGGGTGATAAGTGTGTCTTAAGTCCTTTTTGGAAGGAGACAGGATTAAAAAGAATTACTAGAAAGTTCAGTTACTATGTTTCAGATTGGCAGCCTGACTGAGTGAAAAGAGCTTAGAATTGAAACTGGAAAGCCTATATTGTAGTTCTTACTCTGGTAGCATTTCAAGCAAATCATGTAGCCTTTGGAAATTTCAGCTTCTTCAACAGAATTATGAAAGTGTTGGACAGGGTTCAAAATTTTCAAACCTCTATTTTAGGATGCTTAGGGGTCCAGAAAGGTAATATTAAAAATTCTAGCCCTGGCCGGTTTGGCTCAGTGGTTAGAGTGTCGGCCCGTGGTCCAGAGAGACCTGGGTTCGGTTTCCGCTAAGGGCATGAACCTCGGTTGCAGTTTGTCCCCTGCCCTGGTTGGGGTTATGCAGGAGGCAGCCACTTGATGTGTTCCTTTCACGTCGATGTTTCTCTCTCTCTCTCTCTCTTTCTCTTTTTCCCTCCCACTCTGAGCAAAAATGGAAAAATGTCCTCGGGTGAGGATTTAAAAAAAAAATTCTACAGATGATTGGTTTGAATTTCATATAAAAATTAAAAACAAATTTTTGTATGTATTGATTTGAGAGAGAAGAAGAGGGAGAGAGAGAGGGAGAGTAACACTGATTTGCTGTTTCACTTATTTATGCATTCATTGGTTGCTTCTTATATGTGCCCTGACAAGAGATCAAACCTACAACCTTGGTGCATGGGACGACACTCTAACCAACTGAACTACCTGGCTAGTGCGCATTTAAAATTTTTTAAAGTTTGTGTTGCTAGTTTACTCTTTCTATATATCTTGGATTAAAGTTACTCTTGACATCTTTATTTAATACTAAGAGTGTCCTGGGACTACAAGTAAAGGAGTGTTACCGAAAAAAATTGATTACTGTTTATACTTACCTTTTGAATCAGAATTCAGAAAGAATTCTCTTTGTACTTGACATCCAAACAAATACAGAAGTTATTTGAGTATGGGAGTGGATCTTCCTGCATCTGGTATTCACAACCCCAGATTTCAAATATTTGTGTTAATTTTGAACTTCAAAAATTTTTATACTAATTAAAAATTCTTTCATCTTTTATAATATGAATTGAAGTTAGGTCATGATGTACATTCTGTAATACACTGGTACAGTGCCTCATTTTGGAATGTGGGGTACTTTGTAACCTAGTACAATAGTATGTTATACCCAGGGGTGGGCATGTATGGAAAATAACATAATAATACAAGAATAAGCTCTATGTTTCATGTACTTACAACTGTAAACCTACTTTTGCCCACGTGTGTGTGTAAATATATATATATTACTGTATTAAAAAAATAGATGGCCATCACATTTTTTTTTTTTTGGTACATGCCCCTAGCAGGAACCAAACCCAGGACTCTCTGGTCTGCAGTGCAACGCTCCAACCGCTGAGCCAAATCAGCCAGGGCGGCCATCACATTTTTAAGCTTTTATTTATTTCCTCATATGAAGAGACCATCTATTTCATTTTCCTCATTTGAGCTGTTTCCCATCAAGATCCTTATGGGAAGGCTTCAATTCAAATTCATGTTTCCATTTTAAACCTTACAAAGTATGAACAATTGTGATTTTTTTTTAGTGAAATATTAATTTATGATTTATTTTAATATTTATTTTCTAGGCATATTGTATTTTAGCAGGATCACTGGTATCTGAAGGAGGTATGTACTGTCATAGTATTTATTTATTCTTAATTTAGTAATATATATTTAGCAGTTCGTTTAAAAAAAAAACCTGTGGGAATAGGAATCTAAGCTTTGTCTACTTTTAAGGAGTAAATTTTTTGTAATGATGTACTGTGGCTGTTCCCATAATGGATAGGGCAAGGGAAAAGCTATTTTTTCTTGAGCATCATATTATAAAACTCAAAACATTTGAAATGGAGTATAAAAATATAACTATATACGGAGTTCTAAAAAAACTAGGTTTTAATATGTTAATCAGAGAAGGCTGTCTTTTTTTCAACACATATTTCAGAGTTTCTGAAAGTTTCAGATGTTATGGTATTATGACAGAGTTCTACTGTCATGTATGAAACTGCCTGATTCACTGCCTTACTCATAGTATGTTTTCTTCTAAAACACTGTCACTTTCTGTGCAAAGTGTTTCCTTCCTCTTCGTCTAAAAAATGGTGATAACACCACGTGCCTCAAAGACGGGGAGGATCAAAAGTGATTGTGCTTACTTAGTGTGATGCCTGCCAAATAACAGCTGTCCAATCAATTAAAGCTCTTGTTGTGGTAATGATGTTTAAATTATTATGGTTTAGAAATATGGGATTCATTATGTTGTGATGATTAATTGGGGCCTTGGTAATGACTAGTTAATGCAGAACTTTTCCTTATTTCCAACCCTGACATGAAAGTAGTATACATATTTATCTTTTGAGATGCCATCTTTAAAGTTTGGAGGCATGAAGTTTCTTTCTTGCTGATATGAATGCTTTTCTTTCAGCAACACTTCTTGTTGCTGTAAATGAACTTCGTAGGAGTGCTCAGGCCAAGGGAATGTCATTTTACAAGTATGGTATGTATTTTAGAAACCAGGTATCTTATTTCATCTCCTTTTTTTGCTTAAAATTGCCTAGTATTGTTGCTTTGTTCTTTATAGATCTATCTATATAAAATATATCTCAGTGTCTTTCCTGTGTGTGACTCTTACATATATATCAATTCTTTTTTCTTTTAAATCCTCATCTGAGGATATTTTTTCAGATGGGGGGGAGGGGGGAGAGAGAAAGAGAAATACCGATGTGAGAGAGACACGTCAGTTGGTTGCCTCCCGCACGACCCAGACCAGGGTACATGCCCTTGACTGGAATCAAACCCGCAACTCGGTCTGCGGGCTGACGCTCTACCCCCTGAGCCAAACCGGCCCAGGCTACATCAGTTCTTTTAAAGAGAGAAATGTAATGTAATTTGAACATGAACACTTTATATTTGGATTTAACTTAAGTAAATTACAGTATTTCTGTATATACTTATATAACTTAAGAAAGCAATTTGAACATGTAAGCCAAGAAATTGTTTGCATTGAGCGGTATTTTTAAAATCAGGATCTCATACATTTTTAAACATAATTTATATCTTAATTTTAAATGGATATTTATTAAAATGTTACCTGAGAGTATCAATTTAAGATTTCAGAAAGTTTCTTTCTTGTGTCTCCCTCAATGATTAAGTAATGGAAAGTCGTGATCCTAGTACAAATGTTATATTATTGGAGGATACTGCAGCAGTCTTGGGAGTGACAATAGCAGCCACTTGTATGGGCCTTACTTCTATGACAGGTAAATATTTCTTATATTACAAAGTGATTGATTTGTACTACTGAAATAATTCTCTAATATGTGAAAATTTTCTTTTATATCATTGAATAATTTTAAACCAGTAGATTGTTAGATGCTAATTTTATACTAACCTATTAACTTATTTGTATAAAACATTTGGTCAGTAAAAGTGTAATATTTCTCTGAGTTAGGAATTTCTCTTGGAAATAAAGAAGGCTATTAATAGAGTATTTCTGTAATGCTCTAAATCTTTCTAACTGTGACTTAATAAATTATGCAATTATTCTTTACCTATAGAAGTATTGATATTTGTCATATTGACCTCACAGGTTTATTAAGATAAATACAAGAGAGATTTCTAATGAACTCTAAAGCTCTAAATAAATTAATAAATATTGTGGCTCTTGTTAATTTGTCTTTTCCACTGTTAGTACCAATAAGTGCTATTGCTTTCCTATTTCCTTGACTCAAGTTGGTTCCACCCTCATTTTGGTAGCTAGTTAAGTGTTTTGAAGGCCAATACAATACAGATCAATCAGAAGACAGAAAAATCATTTTATTTTTATTTTCTAAAGAATCATTTAGTATGCAAAGACTCAAATTTCTGACATTGGAATTCTCTTGGAATAGAACTTCCATTCTTACCCATTTGTTCTTGCATATTTAAATAATTTGAGGTGATGAGCTTTCATAGTTCTGCAATGTTTCTTAAAGTACTCTAAAATATGGATAGGTCTTTCTCATTTTGAATAATCATTTTAAGACTAAACAGCATTCTCTGATGTTCACTGTAATCCAGAATATTTCTAAAAGTGTTTCTTGTTTTTCTGGTTAACTTTATCTTAATTGTCTTCTTTTGGACATAAATTATTACTTAGCAAAAATTTAGGCTTAAGAAAAGTGAAACTTGATGAGTAAGTCAACTTTTAATAGGTTACTTTCTTTACATAATAATGTCAACCAGTCAAATCATAAAATTTTTAAGAGTATTTCACATGAATTAAATCTTAATTAGTTAAATTAATTTAAATAAATTCAAATAACATGCCAAGAAACAAAATATTTTCTAGTTAATTATTCCTGTGATTTCATTAGGATTATTTATATACATATATTTTAAAATAAAAATAATTAAATTTGTGCTTGGCTGATGTGGCTTAGTGGTTGAGCATGGACCCATGCACCAAGAGGTCGCAGGTTCAATTCCCAATCAGAAGACATGCCCAGGTTGTGGGCCTGATCCCCAGTGGGGGGCATGTAGGAGGCAGCCAGTCAATGTTCTCTCTTCATCGATGTTTCTCTCTTTCCCTCTCCTTTCCTCTCTCTAAAATAAATGAAGAAAAAAAAAAAGTGTTTAAAAAAATAATTTGGGTTTCTAAAGGACAATATATTTGATTTTGAACTCTGAAAGCCTCCTACTAGATTATATTTTATTTATAAGTGGATCATTTTTAAGACTTTAGTACAGATAAGCCAGTATACTTTTTAGTGTTATATTTTTGACTAAATGTTAGTAAAACTAGTATGTAAATTGAGATTTTTGTAAGTAAAATATGTGTTTTATCAAGCATTAAGAGACTTAAATTTAATATTGACATTTTATGTTTAAAATAAAAGATTTCTAATCATAAAAGCTTTGTGTTGTAATATTTATTGATGTCTGTTACATAAATATTAATCTATACATTTATCAATAATAAATCAGCTCGTCTCATTGGTTCGGGGAGAAAATTAAGCCCTAACAATCAAAAACAGTTTTTAGGATGAGAATTGCCTGGGGGTTGGGAAGACACAGAATCCTAGACCCCACCTCCAGAGTTTTTGACTCAGAAGATCTAGGGTGAGGTCTGAGAATTTGCATTTCTGCTAAGTTCTCAAGTGATACAGATGCTGCTGGTCAAAGGACCACACTTCGAGAACCACTGCTCTCAGGTACCCATAGCATGCAATGAATGGACTTTCTTTTTAGTAGTTAGTAGCTGTGTATCACCCTTAAAGGAGTGACCATATAATATTTTGTGTGGCTTAATTCTCTCATAGAACCTTGGTAAGAATGACACAAAAATGGTTATTTCTTTCAGCTTTTGATCTCACAATTATTTTGTCAGCCTGGAATAGGAAAAGTGCTACTGATATTGCTAACAGAAATGGACTCTTTATTATATTATTAATATGTATATGAATTCTCTAATCTGAAAATGCTCTGAACCCTCCCATATAATGACCAAATGCAAGAAACAGATCTTAAGTAATTAAACCCTCTAATACTCCTATGTAATATGAAGCAAGCTGTATCATTCCCATTTTGTAGCATGGTAAAACTATTAGGAGAAATTCATTAAAGGAACCGGAATGAATTTTAAGTCCCTCGATTTACTGATTTTGGTTCTTTGCTCACTAAAACTCATTGAAATAATAGGAAATGTTAATTACTGACTTCTTATGTGCTTTATTTAGGCAATCCACTGTATGACAGCCTAGGTTCTTTGGGTGTGGGCACCTTATTAGGTGTGGTCTCAGCATTCCTCATCTACACTAACACAGAAGCACTGTTAGGACGATCCATCCAGCCAGAACAAGTACAGCGGCTTACTGAACTCCTGGAGAACGACCCATCAGTAAGGTCAGCTTATTCCTGTGTTGCTATTAAGGTTTACACAATCATGAAGAGATAGATATGCTTGGTTTATAAATACTTCCAGAGGAGGTTTTGGATCCCTAGCCTTCAGAACTTTTTAATCTCTTACTTTTCAGAATTACAACTTTACGGGAAAGCATTTAGGAAACACCTTAAGTTTACTTTTAAATTTTGTGTATCTTTAATTTTTAGAATAAGGAATAGTTAGATGATGTAATGGGAACAGAAGTTTGCAAAGTATTTGCCTCCTTAATGTGGAACCATTTGGGTGGAACTTTCATATTTATATTTGCCTTATATTTGTATTAGAATTACAAATTGAATATATTTAAGAAGATTTTTATCCATGAGGAAGTGATTACCAAATTAAATAAAATTTATATTCCCTTTGAAAATAAACTTATTATTTTAGCTTATTTTAAAAGTTTTTTGTTATAATCTGTATCTTTTAAATTATATAAGAATAAAGAACTGACGACTTAGGAGAGAATCAGAAGTAGTACAGAGTCCTAATAGTATTTTTCAGTGAAATTCAGCAGCAGTGTGGTTTAGAGTGAACTGGAAGGAACAGTCCTTTGAAATCCCAATTTTCCACTAACTACATATATATTTTAAATTAAAAAAAAAAAAGAATGTGTTTTTCTTCTGTGTTATAATTAAACTGTTTAAGTTAACTAAATCTTTCAAGAATGGCATGTATGTCTGAATCGGTAAAACAAATGAGTGATAAGCCCTGTATGTTTAATCTTGAAAAATAGTTACCTAGCTGAATCAAGATTAGAAGTTGAGCATTCTTAAAATAAGTATTAGCTTAGAAACTTAGTATAAGATAATCCGTATTAATACATTTTCCTTCTGACAAAATCAGTTTTAGTATCAAGGTGATACTTTATAGAATACGTTGGAAAATGTTTCTTTCTCTTCTGTTTTTTGGAAGAGTTTGTGAAGAATTGTGTATTTCTTCTTTAAATGTTTGGTAGAATTCAGCAGTGATGCCATCAGGGCATGGGCTTTTTTGTGCAACTAGCTTTTTTATTACTAATCCTGTCTCTACTTGTTATACATCTGTTCAGATTATCTTTTTCTTCTTGAGTGAGTGTTGGTACTTCGTGTCTCTAGGAATTTGTTCATTACTTCTATTTGTTGGCATACAACAGTTAATAGTATTTCTTTCTAGTCCTTTTTATTTCTTTAGGTTCGTTAGTAATGTCTCTTCTTTCCATTCTGATTCTAGTAATTTGAGTCTTCTCTTGATTTTCTTGGTCAGTCTAACTAAAGGTTTGTCAATTTTGTTGATCTTTTCAGAGAACCATCTTTTGGTGGAATTCATTTTCTGTTGTGTTTCTGTTATCTATTTCATCAATTTCTGCTTTAATCTATATTATTATTATTATTTTGCTTGCTTTAGGTTTAGTTTACTCTTTTTAGTGCCTTGAGATGGTGGGTTAAGTATTTTATTTGATATCTTTCTTCTTAATACAGGCTTTTACAGTTACAAATTTCCCTCCAAGCTCCACTTTTGTTACATCCTATAAATTTTGGTATATTGTGTCTTCATTTTCATTCATGTCAAATAATTTTCTAACCTCACTTTTGATTTTTTTCTTTGGTGATTTTTTCCATTGGTGATTTAGGAGTGTGTTAATTTCCATGCATTTGTGAGTTTCCCAAATGTCTTTTTGTTATTGATTTCTTACTTTTTTCTGTTGTGGTCAGAGAACATACTTTGTATTATTTCTGCCCTTTTAAATATACTGATTTGTTTTATGATCTAACATATGATCTATCTTGTATAATGTTCCTTGTGCACTTGAGAAGAATATATGTTCTGCTATTGTTATAGCGAGTGTTGTATAGATGTCTATTAGGTTTATTTGTTTTATTCTATTTAATGTTCTATTTTCCTGTTGATCTTCTTGCCCAGTTTTTTATTTATTACTGAAAGTAGGGCCCTGGCCAGTTTGGCTCAGCAGTTAGAGCGTCCGCCTGCAGTCCGGAGAGACCCGGGTTCGGTTCCCGCTAGGGGCGCGTACCTCGGTTGCAGTTTGTCCCCGGCCCTGGTTGGTCGTGCGGGTGGCAGCCACTCGATGTGTCCCTTTCACATCGATGTTTCCCTCTCTCTCTCTTCCTCTCTCTCCCTCCCACTCTGTCTGTACAAAAAATGGAAAAATGTCCTCGGATGAGGATTTAAAAAAAAAGAAAAAGAAAGTAGGATATTGGAAGTCTCCAGTTATTATTGTTGAATTGCCTATTTTTCCTTTTATTTCTGTCAATTTTTGCTTTATGCATTTTGGTACCATATTGTTAGGTACATATATGTTTATAATTTTGCATATTTTTATAATTAAAGTCTTAAAAAGTTATAAATAAAAAGACTGTGGCAAATTTGAAATTTTCTGTAAGAGTGAAGATCTGTCGGTTAAATTGTTGGAAAAAATAAATGTTAGTAATCCGGAAAGTTTATATAGTTTTTTAGACAATATATTAGTTATCTCTTGCCATGTGACAGATTACCCCAAACTCAGTGACTTAAAACATTTATTACCTCACAGTTTCCGTGGGTCAGGAATCCAGCCATGGTTTACCTGGGTCCTCTACGTCAGGATTTCTCACAGACTGTCATCAAGGTGTTAGCTGGGACTCACTCAATTATTGACATGATTTTAAAAGGTTTTGTTTGTTTCTTTGTCACATGGTTCTCTCCAAAATGGCACCTTGTTTAATCAGAGTATTCAGACTCAGAAGGCAATGGAAATTGAGCGTAAACAAGATAAAAGTCACACATTAGTCATTTTATTTTGGAAATAACATCTCATCACTTGGCCATGCTATGTTGGTTAGGACAAGTCACCAGGTCTAGCTCACATTCAAGGAGAGAGGCCTATGTAAGGGCTCTGAAGACAGGAGGCAGGGATCACGTGGAGCCATGACAGAAGTTGCTGTGATAGTTTTCTATCTGTTATTATATAAGAACACAAGGAAAACATGTATTAGAATATTTTCATTAGCTGTTATTCAGGCATTAGCCAAATAATCAAATTTCATAATATTTTGTGAGGACTGAGATAGATTTTTTTTTTTTTTTTAAAGAATAAATTATATTGCCTCTTGCTAATCTGGACAAGTTTTATTTCAACTTGGACACATATAACTATAAATATTAAATTTTTCTTATTTTTCACCCCTATTATGATAGTCAATAAATATGCTTCTTTATGTATATGGATAAAGAATTTAGACTTAGTATTTAGTAACTTGCTCAAGATCACTCAGGAATTAGAGTTGAATGTTTTAAGAGTATTTGGAGTCTCATTTAGGCTTTTTTCCCAGTAGCTCTCTATGCCTCTAGGATTCACAGTGTTTTCTTATTCTTTTATATATCCTGTAAAGAAAAGATGTTACAGTGATTATCATAGAAAGAAAATAATTTCTCAGTGGTCTTTTAGGGAAGATTGATTCCAAAGGATTAGGGCAGGAAGGATGAAAAGCAATTATGCTTGCGTGTCCCTTTTTGGGAGGCAAAATGGAGTAACAAAAGGCCACTGGGTTTGGCTCTCTGAAGGTCTGGGGTAAGTCCTGGCTCTGCTGTTGACTAGTTGAGTTACCTTGGGCAAGTCACTTATGCCCCTGTGGGACTGTTTATCATGTATAAAGATGCCATCTTATCTACTTTGTAAAAGCTGTTCAATAAATGTCTGCCATGTAACTGGCAACATATTAGGCATATGTGTTGGCTTATTATTTCCCATATCAGTTTCATTAGGTAGTTATTACTACGTTATTCTAATATAGTACTTTACAGAGTTTTTTGAAAACTTTTAAAAAGCTATTAAAAAAAGGAAAAAGGGATTATGAGATAAAATGATCAGATTGTATAAAAGTAATTTAGAGTTGATATTTAGAAGTCTACCAGCTTTATAATTTATATGTATACAGATTACTATAAATAATATTTATTAAGTTTATACCTTTGTCATTATGTAAAAATAGCTGAATGGACATTTGTTTGGAAAATGATAAGTGGCACTTAATGGTGAACACTCTGAAAAGCCATCTTAATCCATTTCCATCACTGGGGGAAGAAAAAATTCTAGACTTTGGGCCATTAAAATTTATATGCATATGTGTGTGTATATACATTTATAGATGTTATTGATTACAGGGCAATTCATGATGTTAAAACCACAGATTTGGGACTAGGCAAAGTAAGATTTAAGGCAGAAGTAGATTTTGATGGAAGAGTTGTTACAAGATCATATTTGGAAAAACAAGATTTTGACCAAATGCTACAGGTAAGTTCATGTATTTATTGTTTTCTTGTTAAGCCAGTGGTTAGAAAACTTACTTTTTAAGTAAATAAAATAAAATTTTCTTTTACTGCTCATAAAGTCACTTTAGCTTTCAGCTTGTTAGAGTTCCAAAATTTGACAGACTCTTTTATTTAATGTAGAGTGGGTTAGAGGAGATAAAAGTGCAAACTTATTATTAAAGTGCTTGCCAAGCATTTTATATATATTATATGTTATCTGGTTTACTTTCAACAACCCTGTGAGGTAAATAAATATTTTCATTTTCATATATAGGCAAATAGAGACACAGAGAGATTAAGTAATAAGTCTATAATTGCAGTCATATACGGAGTCACATATGAATTTAGATCTCTGTGCATCCAAAATCCATGCTTTTTTTTATTAAGAACGGTTTAAAAGAGAATTTACAGAGGATAATACAATGAACAACGCAAAAGTTACCACTTGCTGTCAAATCTTAATATTTTGCCATTCTGTATTTGCTTAAGATCTTAATAAAAAAGAAATAATTGTTGCAAAAATAGTTGACATCCTTGTGTTCTTATTGTAGATCCCATTCTCCTTCCTCTATCTCAGACATATCATCCTGAATTTAGTACCTATCATTTCTTTTTTTGTTGTTGTTAATCCTCACCTGAGGATATTTTTCTATTGATTATTTTATTTGTTTTAGATAGAGTGGAATGGAGAGAGAGAAAAACATTGATGTGAGAGAGGCACATCAATTGGTTACTTCCTGCATGACCCCAACCAGGGCCTGGGATCAAACCTGTAACCTAGGTACATGCCCTTGACCGGGAACTGAACCTGAGACCCTTCAGTCTTCAGGCTGACGCTGTAACCGCTGAGCCAAACCGGCCGGGCTAGTACCTATCATTTCTATTTAGGTTTTTATACTTCTCAATATACTTTTCTTAGCATAATACATAATAATATTTTGGGTGTTTAAAAATTTATATAAATGGTGTCATACAATATGATTGCCTCTATAATTTTCTTAATGGCATGTTTTTGAGATTATCTCATGTTAATATATATATCTTTAGTTAATTTACTTTAACTGCTATATAATATTCCATTATATAAAGATCTGTAATTTATCTAGTCTCTAATTAGTGGACATTTATATTGTTAAATGTTATATGTTATATAACATATAACATATGTTACATGTTAAACTGTTAGAAACAGTGTCACAGTGGCATTCTCAAACATGTGCAAGAATTTCTTTACATGTTCACACGTGCAAGAATTTCTTTAGGGTAATAAATAGTTAGATTTAAAAAGGTGGGTCTTTGGGTCAACATATCTTCAACATCTCTAGATATTGGCAAATTTTTCTCCAAAATGGGTCAATCTAATTTCCACCGTTAGTGTATCAAATTTCTGTTGCTTCACATTCTTACAAGGTTGTATTGACAGAGTTTTAAAATTTTTGTCATTATGATAGGTGTGAAATGGTATCTTGTTTTAATTTATATTTTCCTGGTAGTAGTAAGGTTAATAAACATTGAAATTCCTTAACCATTGGGATTTCCTCTACTTTTTTCTTTGTTTAATTTCTATGATTCTGACAGATTTGTAAACTATTTATTTAACAATTTTTTCCCCCTTTATTGATTTGAGAGAGAGGGGGAGAGGGAGAGACAGAAACATCCATGAGAGAGAACATCGATTGGCTGCCTCCTGCATGCCCTGCACTGGGGATTTGGCCCACAACCTGGGCATGTGCCCTGACCGAGATTTGAACTGGCCACTTCTTGGTGCACAGATCAATGCTCAATCACTGAGCCACAAGCCGGGCATAAACATTTTATTTTTAATATGCTTAATACTGATCCTTCCTCGGTTGTGTATGTGCAAATACTTTTTTCTAGTTTGGGATTTACCATTTTACTTTGTTGTACAGAAGATTTAATGTGGTTTTTAATTTTAAAGCAAATTTTTAATCTTTTCTCTATGTGTTTTGTAATCTTGTCTGAGTAATCTTCCTTATCCCATTATCGTAAACATGTTTTTTTTTTTCTGAAAGTTTTATGGTTTGTTTTTTACCCTAGATTTTTAATCCATTTAGGATTGTTTTGTTTAATGGTCTGAAGTGTAGGGGTTTAATATTTTTTTCTTATAGAAAAATAATTGCCCTGACACTATTTATTGAATAGTCTATTCTCTCACCACTAATTTCTAAAGCTACCTTAATGTAGTATTGTACTCGATTTTCTCTTGAATTTAAGTTTTTGGAAATAGGTGGTTTATTTCCTTTGGCATGAACATTTTTTTTATTTTTTATTAGGCTTAATGGTGTTATAATTTTTTAAAGGAAATCATCAATGTACTACTATGAGTTTTTAAAAATTTTGTTTTGTTTTCCTGCTAATATTTTTTTTAATAGGAAATTCAAGAAGTGAAAACTCCTGAAGAACTAGAGACCTTTATGCTTAAACATGGAGAAAATATTATTGATACTTTAGGAGCTGAAGTAGATAGACTTGAGAAGGAACTAAAAGTAAGATATATTCATTATAATAATATAATATCTATTTTGGGGGTACTTACTCTGTGTCAGACACTAAGCTACTTGCATCATATGCTCATTCTCTCAGTAACCTATAAGGTATGATTGGTTGCTTTGGGTGAGAAAATGATTGGGTTAGAGAAATTGGGTAATTTATTCAAGAAAGGAGGGGAATTGGGATTTGAACCTATGTAGACCTATGTAGTTTAGTTCCAACTTGTGTACTTCTGTCACTATTTTACACTGCTTGTTTAGTATCTAAAACAGTCAAGTATCTTTTAAAAAAATATTTTTTATTGATATTTTAGAAAGGGAGCGAGAGATAGAAACATTGATATGAGAGAGAAACATCGATTGGCTGTCTCCCGCACGCCCCCTACTAGGGATCGAGCCCAAAATCCCAGCATGTGCCCTGATTAGGAATTGAACCTGGGCCTCTCAGTCCATGGGACGATGCTCAATCCACTGAGCCACACCAGCCAGGCAGGTGTCTTTGTTTTTTTTAATCCTCACCTGAGGACATTTTTGCATTCATCTTCAGATAGAGTGGGAGGGAGAGAGGGAGGAATAGAGAGAGAGAACCATCAGTGTGAGAGAGACACATTGATTGGTTGCCACCCCCACAACCCCAACCAGGGCCGGGGACAAACTGCAACCAAGGTACATGCCCTTAGTGGGAACCGAACCTGGGACTCTCTGGTCCCCGGGCTGACGCTCTAACCGCTGAGCCAAACCAGCCAGGGCGTGTTTTTGTTCTTAAAAAGGATCATTTAGAAAGTTTCTAGAGAATGGTAAAAGGGAAATTTGAAAATTTTGAAAAGTTAGGAATAAAGTAGCATATGACCTTAAACTTATACATACATCTTGCTTTTTAATCCATCTGATGTTATTTTATATTTTCTGTTTGTTTTTGTTCAGTTGGAGATCATTTCAACCTATTGGTTATTTTACTTCAATATTACTTGATCAGACTGTTTTTAAAAACTTCTCATTGCTCTCAAAATGTCATTTATTGACATTTAAGGTCTATTTGTTTGCAGTGAATAAAACGTGTAAATGATCTTTAACATATATAGCTTGTTGAAGGCCATGCATTCATGCCTTTAGTTGATAATTGACTGTTCTTTAGTTTTGTTAAAAATTGAAGGGAAACAAAAACAAAAATTGAGAGGAAACATATCACTGCTTACTATCTTTTCTTTAGAATCTAGATACCTTAGCGGATTAATAGAAATAACTTTAAGTAAGATGATTTTGTTAATGTTAATATTATAGTTCACAAGCTTTGTCGGCAATATTTTTTAAGATTATACGTGAGTAGTTCTCAAATATTTTGGTGTTAGGATTCTTTACATTCTTTTTTTCCCCCTATTGATTTATAGATAGAGTGGAAGGGAGGAAGGGCAAGAGAGAGAGAGAGAAACATCGATGTGAGAGAGACACATCAATTGGTTGCCTCCCACAAAACCCTGACCAGCACCAGGGATTGAACCTGCAACCCAGGTACATGCCCTTGACTGGGAATCGAACCCGAGACCCTTCAGTCCAAGGGCCAGTGCTCTACCACTGAGCCATACTGACTAGGACAGGACCCTTTACATTCTTAAAAATTATTGAGGACTGAAAGAGCTTTTATTTGATGTGTAGTTACTGCTCTTTACCAAATCATAAATTAAAACTGAGAAATTGAAAGATGTTTATTTAAAAAAAGACAAAAAATCGCATGATCTCACCTATATAATGAACAAAATAAGCTGACGAATGAAATAGATCCAGAGACGTGGAAGTAGGGAACAGATTAACAAACCAGATAGAAGGGGGTTGAGGGGGAGGGAAGAGATGAACCAAAGAACCTGTATGCATAACCAATGGACACTGATAACAGTGTGGTGAAGGCAGAGGGGATGGGAGTGGGGAAGAGGGTGTCAACGGGAAAAAGGACACCTGTAATACTTTCAACAATAAAGATAAAAAAACAAAACAAAACATAAATCTATTACATGTTAATGTAAATAACATTTTAACAAAAAAAAAACTTTTTTAAAATGAAAAATTAGTGAGAACAGTGGTTTTTTTCTCATAGTTTTGCAAAAATCAAAGACAGCTGGATTCCCATATCTGTTTCTGCATTCAGTCTGTTACCATATGTTGTTTTGATTGAAGAATATGAAGGGAGGAGCCCTTATAAATATTCTTATACCTTTTCAAATGATTGTGATCTCTTGACCAAAACCTGACAACTGGTAGCCTCTTAAAGCTTAGGTGCCATGTGGAATCTGAGCCATGTGGAATCTGAAACCATATCAATTAACTGTTTATATGTTTGTGAAGTTAGGGGGCACAGTCCACAAGACCACCCTCATTTCTAACACAGTTGCAGAGTTACAGAAATTTCAGAACTCACTAAATGCTATTAAACTTACAGTTATGGTTTATTCCATTGAAAAGATACAGATTAAAACTAGCCAAGGGAAGAGATGCATAGGTCCAAGTTCCAACAAGAGCTTCAATTGTCCTCTCCCCACAGAGTCATGGACTTTCCTAGCAATGTTTTGACAGTTTGCAGGGAATATTGCCAATTAGGGAAGTTCAACTAAGCCTCAGTGTCCAGAGATTTTATTGGGCTTCATAGCTGACTGTCTTCAGCTCCTACTGGAGGAGAGCACATGCTGTGTGGCCTAAGATAAACAAAGACATGATTATCAGGCAGCACATTCCAAAAGCGTAGAGATCACCTCCCAGTAGCCAAGGGCAAAGGCCAGACCTCTCTTTGGGTATGATTAATTTTCTACTATATACTGTTGTATTAAAATCTGTTGGCCTGTCTTTCTACTCTGAATGGATCTTTTACCCATGCATGATTCTTTAGTATTATGAATTGGTCATTTGGAAAATAACTGGTTGACTGAATCTATGCACATCTTTCAAATGTTACATTTTAAAGTAGAAGCTGTCAGGCTCACAGTATTGGATATGAGTTTTCCAAAATTCTGATTTTCACTTGAAAGCTTGCATTATCATTAGCAACAAATATATTTAGTTGTTTTCTTTGAAGTAACAAAATCATTTTGTTTATTTTTTAGTAGATGCCTACCAAATACCCAAATTTGAATAACCATAGTTTTTAATTCTTTTAAGTAAAAATGGTATTTAGATAAAAAGCATCTGATTCTTGCCTGGCCAGTGTGGCTCAGTGGATTGAGTGTTGACACCCATGGACTGAGAGGCCCAGTTTGATTCCTGGTCAGGGCACATGCCTGGGTTTTGGGCTCTATCCCCAGTAGGGGGTGTGCAGGAGGCAGCCAATCGATCTTTCTCTCTCACATCAATGTTTCTGTCTCTCCCTTCCTCTCTCTCTAAAAAATCAATAAAAACATGTTTTAAAAACTTCTGATTCAGCTCATAACTCAAGCAGTCATTGAAGTGCTTCTCCTTGTGACGTCAGACATCAATATGAAGCAGAAGGGTTTTATACATACTTCTCATTTCGTCACAGAATATTTTTAAAAGTGTACTCAGGAGTCTAGGCTTAATAAACCAGTACTTTTTACTGTGTCATGAAGAACATTTTAAAGTGAAATTACCTTTTTTTCTTTTAAACTGAGTGGCAGTAAAGGAACAAAATCACTGCCAATATAGTTAGTTTGTTACCATTTGCCTTGAATTTTGCAAAAGTGCCAGTGGTTTTATCCACCATCGCTTCTGTGCCATCAAAGGAAATGTCAGCATAGTAAAAAAGGCAAATAATGTCTTAGTGTTATTATGAACATAGTTCCACTTTGATGGACCAGACCCTAAAAGGGTCTTAAAACCCCAGTGATCCTTGGAGCACACTTTGAGAACCACTGTTCTCAAATGTGAGATCATCATTTTTATGCAGGGTGACTCAAGAGTAAATAAACTGCTTTACCACTCTATCTGTTTCAAGAAAACTAATGGAGTTTTAAACTCAATATTTTAGTTTTACTCTTTAATAGAAACAAGAAGTTAACTTTGTGTTTATTTAGAAACTATTTAATCATTAATAGTTTGAACTATCTCATAATTGTTTTTGAATTAAATAAGCCTTTCAAACCAGGAAGCCAGGTTTAACCCACCCACATTTTCAGGTGGAAGCATCTCTGTCTGACTAAGGTAAGAAGGCATAAGTCAATGAAAGTTCTTCATAGTTAAGTCACCAAACAGAGAATGCATGAATATAATTTTTTTCTTCTCATGAAAATGAACTGATATTCTTTGAAAACTGAAACTTTGTACACTGACACATTCCCTCCTTTTTTCATATCTATCATGATTCCCTTCTAAGTTTGAATTTTACCAATTATTAAATTACTTTGGAAGGTCACACTCAGTGAGGAAATTCTGCAGCAGAATAATGATCTCTGTTGAGTAATGTCATTGATCCAGGTATTTGGTGGTACTTTTAGCTTAAACTCTGTAACTTGCATAGTTCTATGTAAAAATATAAAAAAATGATAGAAGATAATTTATAAAGTCTCACAAATGTGAAATGTATCTTGTTCTTATTTTGAAGTTTTTTGAACTATTAACTTGTAAGATTTTTGTTGTTGTTGTTCTACCTCTATATTCCAATCTGTTGATGGACCAGACCCTTCTCTATACCGCCATGAAGTTTTTTGTGTTTGGGAGGAAATAATTCTATTGGAAATGGGAAGATGCCATAGCATTTGCACTTTCCTTATAAGTAATGTTCCAGTTAAATACTCTGCCCTTTACTTTGTCTTTTGCTTCTCTAATTGCATCCTCCTATAGCATTTTAACTTGAGACTGCAGCGTTGCAAAATAAATTACATAATTTGGTTTTTATCTCTCCATAATATGAGTGTTAGAATAAAATCTGTGGTATGTAAAATATTCCAATTTGCATTGAACAGTGCTTGGAACATAATAGATCAATAAGCATTTGTTGAATAAGTGAATGAAAATTATAAGTTGGACACCAGTTATTGGTTTTCAATTCTATTTAACAA